ACAGTTGTCATGTGGGAAAACATGAGCAGCAACTTACAAAGAAGAAAGAATGTAACAGATTTTAATAGATTATGTTAACCAAAGACTGGCTGATGCTGACACAGATTAGGGTCTAGAGCTCTGGCAATATGTAGGACTGATTTTAATTAAATTACAACTCATATACATAGTGTGTATACCTTTTACTGCTCTGCATAATTAAACAATAATAAGGAAAGATTATGTCAATAGAAATTATTTTCAGATATCCACAACCCTGTTTTTACTACTAACCCATAATAGAGCAATATAATCTAATTTTGTGAATGCCATCATCATCATACTAAAACATTAAAATAAAGCTCTGCGCAGCAATTGGTGAGCCCAAACTAAATATCGGCCTAGGCAAGAGATTTAAGGCTGATAGCCGATATGCAAAAATAGTGCAAATATCGGACGAATATATTGGCGAATGGATAAATCGGTCTATCACTACAAAAAAAAAAAAAAAAAAAAATCCTTTTTCTCTGGCCCTAATGGTTTGCGAGGTCTTGTGCGTGAGCCTACTAGTACTAGTGTTATCCATATGTTGAATCTGATATCAGTGCCCTGATGACTTATAGTATTTTCTTGTGGTTTTACACTAGTTCCGATATAGATCAATATTTTACCAGGTCAAATGAGAAGACCTTCTCATTTGCAATGATGGCCTACTTTTACATCTATTAGTATCAATAGTAATAACCCCAACACATAAAAAGAGCAATTGTATTAATATAACCCTTATTTTAGATGACAGTATTTTATTTGAACTTATTTAACACTACATTATTGACGCATTCATACACATAAGGTTTTCAAACTGCTGAATCACAGATGGCACAAATGCATTTAGGCATTAGCATATTAATACTGACAAGCAAATAAGGTGCTGGTTGATGCTGGCTCATATATTTAGATCTAAGTCATTCTTAGTGGTTTAAAATACCTTTAGATCACATTTTCTATGGTAGAGAAAATCCTCAGAGGTATTTAGGGCAGCGAGATTGCATTGGCAGCCTCAGATAACCACCCTGTTCTTGAGACTACAGCTCTGGAAGTTACATTGTTTGACCCAATCCTGATAGACTTTCTACAGCACTACACATCAGACTCTCATTCTCCTGCGTCTTTCAGATCCAACCAAGTGCATTGCTCCTTTCTAGTGTCGACTTGTTGAACCCTATAAACCAGTCCTTGAGACAAATGATAGCAATTGTACCTCAACAGCTACCCATAGGAGTTGAACTGGCCCAAAATGGTTAAGGCAGTAAGTTATCCTCAGAGATTTAAGAATAACTTCACATATTTTTATGTATTTTGAATTCTAATTGGGTTTTCAATTAAAAGTCGTGTGATCTTCATCGTCATTAAAGCCTTTTGTGATCGCTATTAGAATAAAGAATTATAGGCGCTGTTATTTCTTATCAAGCAATGTAACAAAAAGAACATGCCCTCTGCTGTCTGACCTATTAATTAGCTTTCTCTTGTGCAGTAGCCTGGTCAACCAATTGATCTCAGTCAACTAATTACAGCTTCTAAGTGAACTTGCCTTTTCCCTCGTGTGTATGGCGCAGGGGACATGCCAAAAAATATATTAATGTCCTTGGAGCCAGATGACTATTGCTTTTTTTTTTATCGCACACACTTTGTTGCTGGATATTGTTCTAAAAGCTCACACTTCACTGTGACTGGTTAAATCCACTCACTTGTGGAGGTAGATTGTGGGATTAGACACACAATCACTGAATTACAATACAAAAAATTCATTATAATAGCGCATTGTCACAGAGATGATATTGATTTGATTTTCATTGCCAGCCCAAAGTGTACAATGTGCACAAAAAACTCAAGTAGAAATTGTCATATGCTGGGGCCTGTTTTGGGATTATTGTGTGCCTCAACCCCCTGAAACTTGTTCTCCTGTTTTGTCCAGTTTATTTAGTGTGTGAGCAGAGGAAAATCCACAGCTTTTGTTTACTATACACCGTGTTAAATTCAAGATTATTGTTGACATCATGTACATATTGTTTGCTTAAAGGGAGAGATCGGAATTTTGGACATTGGACCTCATTTCCTAGTGAGCTAGAGTGTTGGAGATGTGTGGAGACACTTTTTAAAATATTCCATCCAGTCCTTGTATTTGCAGAGGTCACTGGTGCTAGGCTAGCGCATGTCAATGGCCATAGTTAGCCTGCCACTAAAAACAGTCTTACTCACGCCACAAAACACCCAAAGCAAATCTATTATTACGCCAGACTGTCGATGTGAATGTCTGTGTTGATAGAATAATGTTTGAAATAAAACTAACTTTGCATCTCATGAATCGTTGCATGTTGAAGGACTATTTTCTCAACAACTCACTGCTGCTGCTCAGACATAAATCCTTCAAATGCAAGGTTGGTTTTATTTCTAAACTTATTCTATCAACACAGACGTTCACATCGACAGTCTGGCGTTATAATTGTCTTGCCTCGGGTGTTTTGTGGAGTGGGTAAGACTGTTTTTAGTGTCAGGCTAACTATTGTCATTGACATGCGCTACCCTAGCACCAGCGACCTCTGCAAATACAAGGACTGGATGGAATATTTTAAAAAGTGTCTCCACACGTCTCCAACACTCTGGCTCACTAGGAAATGAGGTCCTATGTCCAAAATTCTGAACTGTCCTTTCAAGACCACAACAGATTTAAGATATTAAATTAACAAAGAGCTATTTAACAGATTTCAGCATTTTTCTTTTTCCATTCTTCTTTTTGTTAGGCCATTCTTTCTCCCACTCAAACAAGTCGCTCTTACTGATTTCTATAACATTCATCTTTAAATTACTGTATTCCTTTTAAAATGTGTTTCAATTGGATAAGTACTTGCAATTTACTTACAGATATGCATGCATTCTAACTATAATGGAAGCAATCTTTACCTATTTTAAGCTCTCATATAGAAGTACATAAAGATATAGAAAGACCATTGCTGGTTGACTTTCTGTGCTGAATGGGGCACTCACCCCAATTATCCTGCTTTAAAATGTCTTCTTCCTTCAGGCTATTTTTGATAGATTGTTAATTTAATCTAGTTACAATGGCTGCCGGGTAGAACTAGCCAGTCTTGCATAGCTTGGACATCACTTTTCTCTCTTAAAAATCCTCAAATTGCTACGACACATTTGAAAAGAGAGTTGTTTAAAAACACCATTCAACTTTATGTTTTTTCCTCTAGTTATGATCCTTAGAGACTAATATTATGGGTCATCTCCCTATTTACCCCATCTGTGCTGGAGCTGGAGTCTAATCACAGCATTCGTTCAACAGATTTCCGTGTTAAATTATTCATCGCTTTGACTTGATTGTGTTGAAATTGCACTGACCCCGTAGCGCACCTTTCTAACTACAAACGATATGATATTGACATCTCTAGATCTGCTGGTCCACTGTATTTCACTATTTAGAATTATAGTCATCCAATGAATACAGTAGCCTGGGTCTTGATTCATCCAGCCATCACGGTGTAATCATTTGTCCATTGATTGTGGGGCTGATATTGAGAGGGTTCAAATGAATGCACAGGCCGTTTGTTGCAGCTGTTCACTCGTCCAATCGATTATTAATAAGTCTGGGACTACGCTGGGTATAAATTATTGTTCGAAGGTTGCTTTCATTAAAACAGGTGGGAGTATTGTGAGAGAAAAACACACAAATGGCGAGAGTGAAAACAAAAAAGAGAAAAACCAATAGCTGTAACTAAGGATTTGTATTTTGGGTTCATTTGTTATTTCAGTAAAATCGTGCTTTAGTGTTTTTGAAAAGACTCAAGTTCTAGTGTTCTTAATTTGCCCTGGGGCAGACTGAAGAATGTGTGGGAGACATTTTGTACACTGGCCCTTTCAATTATACTCATGTCAACAAAGGCCAGTACAGTCTGGACCAGAATTGTAAATAGTTTTCATTCAATTACCAAAAGTGTTGACAACCAAATGTGACTTTAGACTATTGTTTCTCAACCTGAAGGAATGATTTTAGGGTTTAAAAGGTGAAATTTAATAGTTTGGAGGATTGTTGGCCAGAGGTGGGAAAGTCATTGTTTTGCAAGTCTCAAGTCTTTGACCTCAAGTCTGAGTCAAGTCCCATGTCAAATACAGGCAAGTCCAAGTTGAGTCTCGAGTCACTGGCTTATAATTCCAAGTCAAGTCCAAGTCGTCTGCCTTGAGCTTCAAGTCATTTCAAGTCTTCAAACCAACCTTTTGCAATTTATATGACATTTAAACTAAATTGTACTTAAAGTCATAGTATATTTATATATGAGTATTTATAGAGTATATAAGAGTTGTAGAAATGCAGCTCTTTCCTTTTTAAATATCTTTACAAGACCTTAGAGTGAATCATTACAGTCAGAATAGAACGAATTCAGATCTAAAAGTGCTTCTCAAGTCTTCTCAAGTCGCAGGCCTCAAGGTCGATTCAAGTCCCAAGTCTTAGTCCATTTTATCAAGTCAAGTCTCAAGTCCTAAAAATAGTGACTCAAGTCTGATTTGAGTCCAAGTCACGACTTGCAGATCCCCACCTCTGTTATTGACCTCATTATCATTATCGTTAAAGGTACACTACGTACATTTTCTGGTGGAAAATCTGTTTGCTTGATGTTATTACTTCCTGTAATATTGCACGGTATAGCATTAAACTGTCTTGCTTTTAGTCTGGGTTACCTCTTCATGGATTTCACATAGATTTAATGCCATACTATGGAACATTCCTCTATGAAGGCAAGCAGGTGGCAAACAGAAATGTTACAACAACAACAACAAGACAAATAAGTAATAATTAATAATATACTGAGGGTATGGGTCAAATCTTAAGGGGTGTTCAAGACAAATAATAAGGTTGGGGACCACTGCCTGATTTATAAAACATAACAAATACAGAATTGTGATTATATTAACCAGATCTTGTATTATTTATGCTCTAATAATCTTGTTTTGTTTTCCAGACCTGATCCATTGCACCAATGAGCTGAACGTGAGTATCCCACAGCTGGCTGACACTCTGCTGGAGCGCACGGCCACCAACAGCTGGATCGTGGTGTTCAAGGCCCTTATCACCACACACCACCTCATGATGTACGGCAATGAGGTGAGGAGCACATTTCAAAACTCTATCAAGGTTTCAACTCAAGTCATGTATATTAAAAACGGGTGGGAGCCAGGGCCGTTTCTAATCTCGTGGGGGCCTTATACCAGATGGTTCTTGGGGCCGCCAAGTTTGCCAAATTGAGATTTTTATATCCTAATTGTTCATGTTGTGACAATTTAACACCCAATATCATCAGTAGAATTAGGGCTGGGCAATATGTCAAAAAATCTATCACATTTTTTTCCTCATTGATTTTTAAGTCTTTATTTTCTTTTCAAAAACAAAATAAAAATAGCTTTCATGAACATAAACAATAGAGACTTTATTCAGTGCCATTTAACACAAACATATAGTTAAATTTCTTCTTCCAAAGTCAGGATCCTGCTCCAAACCAAATGCTTTTATTAACAGAGGACTGGCTGTAAACAGTTAAAGATACAATACGTACCTTTGTTAAGGTGGCACATTATCTGAATGATTGAAATATTCTCAGTGGAGATTAAAAAAAATACATTACTGTGGCTTTATAAAGAGCCTAGTATATCGTACTGAGAAAGAACTGAATCTCAATCTCTATTTAAATGTGATTAATTGCACAGCTCTAAATAATTAAAGTAGATAAAGTTGCAAAAAATAAATTCAGTAACACTTTTCTTTGTCAGGTACAAATGGTACTAGTAGGAGCTGTATTATTATACCCAATGCATTATTATTATTTGCACTGTAGTCACTGTGGTGCCCCGAGTATTTGTAAATCACTGAAAGTAGCTCTCTTGTTACACTCTTAAAACATAGGTCATGCATAATCACATAATAAACAATAATACATCATACCCATCACTGTAGAAATCTAGAACTGGCCCAAAACATATTGTCTATTAGCTACGCAAGCTACGATTTAACAAGCTGCATTTCATACCCCATATACTTCCAACCCCCCATTAGCAAATCCCAGTTCCAGATGACTGTATTTGTCATTTTTGTATTTGACATGCTTTTTAGGTCGGCATCACTTTCATCAATCTCCTTTCGGTACAATGGATCAATATTACACACCCTTATAATCAGAGTATCATCAAACAACATTGTCACTACCCCTCTATCCAACAAGAGCCCCCTAAAAATAATGTTCGAAGTCTTTTCATCCATCAACAGGGCCTGATGAAGTGTCCCCAGCTGACATTTCAATGGTCACGGAGACAAACAAGCTAATTCTACTGTTCATTTAGTACACCAGGAGAATACAAGCCAAAACCAAACACAGGAAGTATGATGTGTCTATAGCACTAATTATCACAGACTGTGGATCCTATTCAAATCACTATATCAAACCAGTGGCACAATAAAAATATATCATTATGATTTTTCTAGTAATGGAATATGAGTTGTAACTTGTACACCAAAGGGCACTGACATTTAGAATACTGAAATATGAACTGCTAAACTCATACAATGCATTTCAGCACAGGTCTAAACTACAGGTTATAATTAAACCCCATTCAGAGGACAATACATCTCCCCCCAAATTGCATACTTCGCATCTTTCTAATTGCAGCCATTCAAATTAAAATTCAACTACTATTAATTTTGCAGACCTAGGCAAGAAGTCAATTTTTTTAAGGTTTAATTATATGGGAAATGTATTGTACTTGGGTTAGTAGTCTAAAAAGGTGCTTATGTTGCCTGAAACAATGTCAAAGGAATTATCATTATCATTACAGTTGTTGCTATAGAAATTGAGTTAAGACTGTTAGGGGTGTAATTAAGGCCAAGCGAGAATTAACACATGCTAAAGTTAGCAAATGAATTAAGTATGTAAGCTATAGTGAAGAAAACTAGCACTTTTGCCTGCAAGATTTTCTCCTCTTGTTTTATTACAATTCCTCTGGGTAATCTCTCCAACATAATGTACTATGTACATTAGTCTAATCCTCCAGCGAGCTACTCCTAACCAAACCTAGTTCATCAACCGCCCTGGACGGTATATTTTGGTTGCCCACTGCTCCTCACAGATTGTCTCCTTGCAGCAGCATTGAAGGGACATATGCTCAGGACAAATTCCCCTATAGGAACAATAAAGTATAAGTCTATGCCAAATCAGCACTACCAAAGATCAGCTTTTGGTGATTTGTTTATTCTAAAGCATGTCTCCTCCGGGCATGGACTTAGATTCTGAAACTCAGTGGGAATTTCTATCTTAAATGCAGTTTAAATTAAAATGAATGAAAACATAAGCGATTGTCCCAATGCTTATATAAAAATTCAAAGATACTTTCTCTGAACAAAAACGAGTCCACTGGCGTTGTATTCACTTTTGCTTACTGTTGTGTTGGGAGCAACCTGAGACTCAGCAAACTCTGTCTTCACCCCCGTAGACTATCAATGATGTGTTCTCTTGTGTTCTCCAGTTCATCAGTGCAGACATGCCACGGCCCTGTCAGACAACCTCCTCCAATAATCACTAACTTTGTCCTCTTGTGTTTTCCCCTCAGAGATTGATGCAGTACCTAGCCTCAAGAAACACGCTCTTCAACCTCAACAACTTTCTGGATAAGGCCGCACTACAAGGTGATTTAATGTCGTTTGGCTGTTTGTGAAGTCAGCACTGCTGTACATCTCACACAACGACTATATGTCCCGCTCTCTTTGGCTCCGAAACACCATCAATACAGGCCTCTTTCAGGGTTTTAAGTAACTACACAAGACGCAGTAGAAAATGGAAATATAGAAAAAAGTTAAAATAAGAATATATATATTTATGAGAATATTTAACATGTTTAATATTAACCTGAAACTAGAGAACCCAATAAATAAACTAAAAGATAAGCATTTATTTCATTATGGATATTTTTAAAACCTCAGAAAAATGTGTCCTTACAACAGAGAGGCCCTCCACAGGCCTGACTTATAACTTTGCTGATAAGATTTGGTGGCAAATGGCAATGTGGGTGTGTAGTTGAGCATCAGTAAGGTGCTAAGTATTGCAAGCTGGTTTGGTTATGTGTCAATATTTTGCAACAGTTGTGTTGCCATAACCTGAAATTTTCCATTGTAAATAATTAAAGAATATTATGCATGTGTTAATTAATTGTGGTGCTCCGTGTCTTCCACGCAGGTTACAACATGTCCACTTTCATCAGACGCTACAGCCGGTACCTGAATGAAAAAGCCATGTCCTACAGACTAGCAGCAGTGGACTTTACCAAGATGAAGAGAGGGTAACAGCAACAATGACATAAAAAAACATGCGTAGGCCTACAGGTGCAAAGAAGCTCATTTTGGTTCTATTTTGGAGCTACACACAATGGAAAAACCGCACAAAATATATGAGGGCAAATGGAAAGTAAAATGCTTTCAGTAACCTACATTATTATTACCTTATTAGCAATTAGTTTCTAGGTTGAGAGCATAGTTACCTTGTCATTACATAAAGGTGGGTTACATGGAGGTTGCATATATTGTTATAATTACATGTAAAGCTATTAACCATACATAGCACTGTCTTATGCCAAGGTTAAAGCACTGGGGTTAATCTCTGGCATGTCTATGATCTATAAGGAAAATTTATTTTTAATTAACATGAGATGAACAGTTAATCATGATATTGATTTCAGCTCATGTCACCTGATGCAATTACCTACAGTATGCATAGCAGTAGCTACAACCATCAGACAGAATTAATGGAAAAATAATACCTGTTTCATACGGGTAACCTGGAACAAACTCAAAATGTGTTGTGTAGTTGTGGTTAAAAAATAACGTCATAAAATCAAATTATTGCTAATACAGTATATAGACACAGTGGGTACTCTTGCTTCACTGAATGTCCACCTATCAATTCCAAAACATGCAGGATGATCCTCTAGCTAGGTACTTTTCAATAAGATTCTACAGTTGACAATCATGAGAAGGGTCCCTGGACACTGTACCTAACAAATTACCTACAAACCCTGGGCACAAGATGGGAATAATGCAGAGGACACAAGTCTATAAAAGCATTGGAGATCAGTTTGAATTAGAATTTGGGAATAAATTTGAGTTACAAACCCTGAATAAGTCTTTTCATTTTTAAGGTGCCATTTTTAGGTGCCATTTTGAGCATTTTCCCCCATCCAAAATGTTGTATTGAATTGTTAATCGATGCGGCTCATTTTTCATCATTCTGAAACTCACGATAGGCACGGTTATCTACAAAACATTGTGGATGAAAACGGATAGAGTTTTACCTGTTTTCTCTGTCATGGGTAAGCTACTGTAACAAAATCAGAATATTTGTCATCATAAAATGTCAGTGTTTCTCCTCACAATAATAATAGCAGCTTTAAACCTTGACATGGTGCCATCCCTAATTCATCCCTGTATATCAGATCTGTTCTGTATTCTGCATGTATCCTGAGCCTTGTTTGGGTGTGTTGTTTAGTGCCGACGGCGTGATGCGCACCATGAACACAGACAAGCTGATTAAGACCCTGCCCATCATTCAGACACAGCTGGACGCTCTGTTGGATTTCCAGGTAAAACGTTTGATTGCACACAGCACATTATATCGCACAAAAATGGGCACACAAAAGCACCACACAATATCACATCGAGAGCTCACACCAATGGCATGTCTGATTACAGCCAAACTCAAACGAGCTGACCAACGGAGTGATCAACACTGCCTTCATGTTGCTGTTCAAAGACTCTATACGGTTATTTGCAGCCTATAATGAAGGGGTCATCAACATGCTGGGTAAGACCTACATTCAAAACAGTAGTATTTCTCTTGCTTGATTACATATATTACTTAACTAGACAATCAATATTTACTGCTATTTATTCTTAATTATTTGTGTTGTGGGGATGGTTTAATATTATTGTCAACAGCTTTATTTGCCTACTAACAATATACTTTCACATGAATTGTATAGTTTGTCAGACTAATGTAATTTTCTGTCTGAAATAAGAGTGTCCATGATTACACTGTAATCGGTTAATTGTCATTATGGGCTTTAGAGGTTAAAATGCACTTTAAGAACCAACTTGATTAAATGTAAGTGAGCATCAAACTTTCTCAGTGTATAATTTGTGTCTGGTTAAAATGTCACTTTGTGATCATGGTTCATTATGATTATATTTTCAAAAGTCAAAAGCTTCTGATTTTGGAAGAGAAGAGTCAAAGTGGTGGCATAATAGCAGAGTGACTAGCACTCTCTCCTCACAGTAAGAATGCTCTGAGTTTGACTCCTGGGTTGCCCTGGTCTTTCTGTGTGGAGTTGTTTCTCCCCATGTTTGGGTGCTTTTCATCCAGCCAGGCATTCCGATTTCACCATCAACCCCAAACATGCACCACAGGTCAAATCCTCCAGCTAAGGTAATCTTGACCAAGCCTAGCTCAAGAGCTGGAGATCTGGACAAGTTGCCGCAGCAGCATTGAAGGATTGTTCAAATGTACCTTAACCTAACCTTAATCTTAACTCCAGATCAAGTCTAGTCCTTAGTCTACAGTCGTGCTGTACTCCCTCTATACTCATGTCCACTGTCTTTATCCCTGCTATAATTTGCCCCGTTAGTCCGGACTTCACTCCAAGCTGAAATCACTCGGCACACCACTCCACTTCCTTCTTAAGAGGAAATCAATTGGCTTCTCGACTCTCTCAAATCTAAATTAAAGACTAAAGACTAACTTCTTTTTCTTTCTGTTAATTATTAAACTGATGATGTAAGACCAGTGCAGGCTCAACTGTGAAATCTAGTAAAAGATTTATCAAAAAATCGACATGATCCACAGACTTTATGAAGAAATGGGCCTTTTCTGGTTTTTAACTGCATTTATGAGTCAGTCTATAACGTCATTAGATCTGACTGAACTGCAGTTTAATGCATTTTTAAAGGTATTGGAGTATTTCACATAGACGAGAGGAGCAGATAAGATTAAGGAGAGGTTAGTGTTTTGTAAAAGAGGCAACCGTTTTTATAATGTCAGAAAAAGTATATACTTTTAGCAGTTGCAATAACATCTCCATGGAGACAAGGAGGCGGTGGATCATCTACCAGAAAAGTTTCATTATACACCTTTAAAGTCTTTAATTTCTTCATAGCTTTTTTTTTTTTTTTTTTTTAAACAAAATTGCTAACTGTGCTTTATCCCGCCATGACAGAGAAATACTTTGACATGAAGAAGAACCAGTGTAAAGAGGCTTTGGAGATCTACAAGACGTTCCTGAACCGAATGACCAAACTGTCCGAGTTTCTCAAAGTTGCCGAGGTAACGCCTGTTTGTCCCAGCAGTTTAAACAAAGCAAGACACATAACACACATAAGTGCTAATGTGGTCTAAGGCTAATCTCAATATATTGATGTTATTTTCTTGAATTTATTTATGGAAAAAATGTTGGGATTTGCCTCAGACCATCAAATCTCCTGATCTACAGTCAGTGTGTTGAACTTCAAAACTAACTGTACATCATGTTGGAAGATAGCTGTTTGAATATTTAGTTAGGGCTGGGTGATATGAACAAAATATAGGTCTATCCATATATACTATACATATATGCATACATATATACCATATGTGTGTGTGTATATATATATATATATATATATATATATATATATATATATATATATATATATATATATATACTGCATTTCTGCAATACAATACTTATGTTCATTGAGCTGTCATTGTTTGACTGAGAGAAATAATAATAATAAATAAAAACACACACATATTTGTCAAGAGATAAAACAATATTAAAATATATAATTATTAGGAAGAGGTCAGGATCATTAACCTTTGAAGTTACACTATGTAATTTGCTTTTCTCCACAGTATGACTATGGCAGTATTTTTTTTAGCAATATGAACACTGTAACTAAGATAAATTTAATGTCACACTGTGTCACATTTCAGCATTAACAGCTCCATGGAGACAAACAGGTGGCAGATCACCCAGCAGAAAAATTACAAACAGCACCAAGTTTTGTGCTGACCATTAGCCTTCATGCTCTAGTTACATAATCCATAACATAAATAATAATTTCATACTATTATTTCAATCAGATGAAATATACAGTGATCTTTATAATACAGTATATTGCCCAGCCCTATTCAATATATATTTTATTACATGTTACATTTTCTTCTCCTTCTCCTGTCCTTCTCTGGCCCTATCCCGGGGAGGGTTTCAGTCTCTACATAGATCAATATCAGCTCCTCTGTGCTGAATCTACCGCCAATTTTGAGATTTGCGGGACTCTTCATGCTGCCTGTTCACTTGCCTGCACTGCATGCCTTAAAGCAAGCTCTCTCTCTCTCCCTATCTCTGTCCCTCTTTGATTTTCTACTTCCTCTCTTCTCTGATAAAACATCCGAAGTCCTCGGTAGGCAGTTGAATTTAAACAGTTGTGTCCTCTGTAGATATAGATTTTCTAACTTTCTGCTTGGTTTCCCCATTTTTTTTGAAAGGTTTGGGGTGCAGCCGCTCGATAAGACGTCAATTTAAATAAAAATCTATTTAAAATAAAGAAAAAAAGTGAAAACCGCAACTAAGACTAACGTTGACTTTAAGGACCCATTCATTTTATCTGTCTAACAATGTGCGTTTGTCTGTTTGTGTCATCTACCCTTCCTACCTATTTTTTATGTTCAAAGTCAACATTAGTACTTGAGTGTCTTCCTTTTTTTGTGGATCTTTCGGGTCCTCAGTCATGTGATCTGTTGTCTGGCCTGCCTGTTTTCTGATTGGCTCTCATTTCTCTCTAGGTGTCACTTTGTGTATGTTATAACACAGTGTATATATTTCAATGTTTGCATGTGTCCCCTCCCTCCCCTATATGTCTTATGTGTGTCTTTTGTTTCCTTTCCACACTGCATGGAGTAACCAATGCTTGAGTTTGATATCTCTCCCTCTTCCTCCTCTTCCTCCTTCACATGCCTTTCTCTCTTATCCCTTATTTCTTTTCCAATTCAGTGCGCTTTTCAGTTTCTTTACAATTACATTTATTATTTTATTTTTATTATTATTTCATTTTGCCTAACCCCTCCCTCCTCCTCCCCCCTCCCCTTTTTGTGAAACAGCGAGTTGGAATAGATCAGGGTGACTACCTTGATCTCGCACAGGTCAGTCCACATCTCATCTCAATCACAGCCAATCACTTTAACCCTTTCGACCCCGCCCCGTCCAATCCCATAATGCTTCATTGTAGACGCTCCGTTCCCTACTCACCCTACAGACATGGCCGCCCTCTCTTCAATCATCCAGATAGTCATTAGATTCATCCTTAGATGATGTATAAAGTACTTATAGTGCTTATAAAGATAATAAGATAACAGAATACCAACCTGTAGATATAGAGGTAGACATTTATTATGTTGTCATGATGAACTAATGATTATTCTGTATGTTAGCTGTAAAATGTAAGAAGTAAAACCTTTTTAATAGGAAATGAAATACTAAACATTATATTCATAATACTTTATATGCATACAGTTTTTTAATAATAGATATATTTTTAATCATAATATTGGTATTAAATTTGAATAACTTTGTATTTTAAGAGATAAATTTACCAGAAACTAAAAGATACCTGATCTGAGTTCACATTATTTACTGTTGATTTATAATGGATTTGAACCAGTACAGGCCTATCGCTTAAAATTTAGGGTTAAACGGTCTAACCTATTGCCTAGAAGAGATTATTTATTTTCCATTACATGACATTATGCTTGTCTAACTCACAACAAATTTGAAATGACATTTATGAAGTCAGATTACAAAAGTATTCCCTCATATTCCTATTTTAGCTCTTTAAGGACATTAGGCTTAGTCTGTCGGCATTTGCGTAAACAGACAGAACAGCGTGTCTCTTGATATTTAGAGCTTATCACACAAAAGTAGTCAGCGCAGACTCATAAAACAGGTTTCCTCCCTCGTAAGCAGTGCTCAAATCACGTCCCTGAAAAGATTATGTCCCTTTGCATTAGCTGTGGGGAGAGCAGCGAATGGTTTGATCAAATAGGTTTCTGCAAAAACAACTTGGGTAGGTGTGCATAATGCCATCAGGAGTACTGCAAATCATGTCAGAATCCTAATACACATTTTTGATATCCTTTTTTTATTATTAGGGACGACTTGGCGAATCAAATCATCTTATTTTTGTATATAACTCATGTTTGCAGTACTAATGAAGCCCTTATTTGCTCCTATTCAACCAATGCCTTTACTGAGCTGTAGATTTGTGTCTGTTTTACTTTAACTTTTAGCATATTTCTCTGAAGAAGGAAACCCTGAAATTTACTCTCTGTCCCCTCGTTAAATAAGTATACGAGAAATCTTTCTTTGCTTGTCGTGGTTTGCGCTGTGAGTTGGGTATTTTACCGAAACGTGATTCTGTGTGTGAAGGCGGCCTGTCACATGACGTTATCACATGACCTCCTGAGCTCCACTGATGTGCACAGTGCCGCCGCACCCCAGGCTTACGCTTCTGAGTTAACCTCTTGGGAGTCCTAATATAATCACTACTACTGTAAGAAGGTCCACTATTTTGCTCATTTATAAGATGTTGATTATTTGTATTTTAAAATGTAATAAAAATGTAGATCTAAACAGTATTTCCCATGAATAAAGGAGTGGGTGGTTCCCAAAATCAAGACATAAAAACAAGCAGAAAAATAAAATGGTGAAACAAATTCTGCTCTGGGCTTCTTGCACAGAAATAAATATCAATAAAAACTGCTTAAAGATTAAATAGAGGCAACTGGCTTACTTCAAACTTCACTATTATTCACTCAAATTAATTTCACCATAGTTTCATCTATTGAAATCACAAGACACCAATTTTAAGTACCACAATCAAGGCAAAATATACTAAAGATGCAGTCGTATTGGTACAATTTGGCAGCTTCAATGGAAGATCAAAAGTCCTTGAAAAAACTAATTATGAAATCTTTAGAAATGAAAGAATACTACATCTTGTGAATAAGTGAGGACTTAATAGGAACTCTTAAATAGTTTGTATAGAGAATTGTCAAAAATCTTAACCAGCATATTAATCACTACTGAAATTAGTATTGAACTTCAGATGAGTTCAGCTGAGTTTATTTGAGCGGTTTGTAGAAAGAGTCAAACCAAAAATACTGAAAGAAATGGCAGTTTTAGAATGGTCTTAATCTATATCAGAACTACTACTACTACTACTACTACTACTACTACTATTGCATTCTATTAAATAAAAGAGTATTTTTTTATAACCAGTGTGGTATTGAAATTGTATCAAAATTGAGTTTTAATATCCTGCAGTATTGCACCAACATTACTTTGTTAACAGTCTGCAGGTTTATGCCATTATATAAATCAAAAAGAGCAAGACAACATAAAAGGCAGAATACTGGACCTTTGATGTTAGTCCAAACCACTCACTTATTTTGAATCATAAGAGGTTCCTTGGGTTAACTCCAGTTTTCTCCTGATTTGGTGTGACTTGTGACCAGTGTGCGTCTATGGGAGTGTCTGCTGGCCCCTGCATGAAGTTCATTAATAGTCTGTGTTGTTTCTTCAACCGAAAAAACAACAAATAATGGCTTCTCTGCTATTTGTTAGTTTGTCCTAAACTTGTCAAACTCGCTTGCATGATCCAAGGCTGATCTGTGCATGCTCCTCAACCAAACCTGATGAAACCAAACAAAAACGACTTCTGTGAGACCAATCGAGAAGAATGAACTACAATGGACCAGTGAAATCTCAGGGTGGTGTCTAATCTCTGCTGCTGCTTGTGTGTGTTGGAGATGGGGAGATGAGGGGTGCTACTTGGGTGGGGGGTATGGAGTTGATGTTAATTTTTGTCCCGTCCTGACCCTTGACCCGGTTACAGGCGCCTACTTCACTCCTGGAGGCGTTAGAGCAGCATTTGGCCTCTCTGGAGGGCAGGAAACTGAAGGATCTCTCCACCGCCAGCAGGTACAAAACACTGGGACGGTAATAAGAAATATATGTCAATTTTATCAAAGCAACATTTTGTGAACAGGCAACTGTTTGTGACTTTAACACAATCTCATGTTTTTTTTCATTATTAGGTACTTCGATTTTTAAAGCTATTAGTAGCTCTAGATTGGGAACCGAATGTTTGAGAGGAGTGGTTCATTCATATTTGAAGAAAATAAATGTACAGACATTCTACTTTAATACTAAAATATTTTTGAAGGTGGAATATACAAGGCTAAAATTATGTTGCAAAAGCTCAGGTGCATTTTCATCATCTGCCAAGTGCAGAATAAACTGCCTGACACCAGAGAGAGAATACAGCCCTGTCATATAGGTTTATGAAGACAAGACGAGACACTGACTTTTATCTGTTACTTGGCAACTGAGATTCAACCACCTGTGTGTTTCTCTTTTAAAACGGTCTGCTATTACATAAGCACATGGACTTAAAAGTGGGCAATAATGAGAAAACAAAACAAAAAAATCTTGATATACATATTTTTTTTGGCATATGTGGCATCTGTATTCTTATATTATGGTAATCCATCAGAAATACGCTAAAATGTGCAAGCAAATATGAATGGATCATAAAATTAGCCACAATTAACCACAAAATGCAGAGATATATGTATGGGTAATAATGTGTATATCAGTAGATCACACTGCTCACTTGTATTATTTTAAATCACCTCCTCAAAAACCAAAATTCTGACATTATACATGTTTTCAGTTTGACTGTAAATACAATGTTTCCACATATTCCTTTCTTTTAAGTCTTGGTGTTATATCTGTTAGATTAGGGATTCCTTTATTGTTCTGCAGATTCACTATTTTATAGGTCCTGCATTTGTCCTACTTTAGCCATTACATCTTACTGATATCCTTATGTATGTGGCTTGGACTTGGCAACTTAAAAGGTTAAATTATGGTTCATTCAATTAAATTATTTCCTTAACATGGGCTCTGTAGCCAAATTATAATTCTCAATTAACACGCTTTACACTGTATTGTAATTATTAATTCAAGCCTCCCCCCAGCATTGCCTGAAGTACTTTGAATACCAAGCCTCAACTCGTGTACTGCTTTTGGTATTATCTGCAGTATTTTGCTCAGACTAAACTAAAACAAGTAAATAAAGAAAATAAAATATTGAAATGGAATAAGGTAAATGATGTGTATTTTTTCAGATCCAGCACCTTATCGAGTGCCGTGTCCTCTCTCTCCAGTACAGGGATCTCTCTGAGCCGAATGGACGAGAAGACAGAGGACAACAGGCTGCAACACAAGGTGAGACAAACATGATTACAATGAATAGAAATTATTTATGTCCTGAAGCATCATTATTACACACAGGTCGAGCAGAGAACATTAAAGTTGCATGAAGGAATCTGATGTTGATGTGCATTTTGGTAATAAGGATAATGAGAATGATAATGATTATATATTGTACTAGAGATACAAGAGAAAGCTAATATGAAATTACTATCCTTGTCTATTGTTGATGGGTTGCAAGTTTAATTATAATCAAAATCACAAATAGTTGCATTTAGCTTCTAATATATTATTTATAATGTCCTTTGCAAACATAGAATTCCATCTCCATATAGTTATACAATCTCTAACCTTTTAGGTTTAGACCTCTACAAACATGCCCTGAATCCATGGGATTCAGCAGTTAATATTTCAGTGTGCTTTCAGTGCTTTTGGCCATGTTTAAAATGGCCAGAAGGTGATTTTTGAAAAAAAATAAATTAATTAATAGCATATATCGTTATAGCTGTCAAAAAAAACAAAAAACTATTTAGATATTTTTCTTGATTGTTCAGGCCTAGCTTGTTGTCACTGTCTTGAAGTCATAACAGAGTTAATCTACATGAGCAATAGTGAGCGGAAATGCAGGAAGGGTTTGGCCATCACTTCAAATATAATTTTAACAAATTGGCCTCGGAATCCTTTGGACAGTGTACGCATAACAATTGGGTACAACCGGATTGCTCTCAGTCTAACAGTCTCCATGCATCTACATGATTGCTCTAATAACAAAGTGCTGAGGGCTACTTGGGCTGCCAAATAAGTTTTATTTTAGAACACAACTTTTTCAAACGACCTACCTCTGACAATATATGTTTCTTGTGTTTGTTTGTCAGCACCCAAACACTGTAAATTAGGATAGGCAAAGGTCATGAGGTTATACCATTGTCATATACATACCAGTAGTTACACATTGCCAAACATCAAAATTTGAAAAAAAAAATGCTGCTTTGGGAAAAATATAGTGATAAAACACATTCACTAATAAAGGCAATAATTTAAGTGCTACTGGGACAATAAATTAAAAAAAAGGTTAATGATAGAAAGAGTTGATGTGCAAATAGTCCACGGTACTAAAGGAGAGAAGACCCGCCTTCCTTCTGTTTCTAGGTTATAACAGTTAAACAATTGTTAATATTTCATAGTTATATAGTCTGTTGTTTTGTTTCCCCAAGAAGAACAGAACTGGGAAAGCTATAAAAGCGAACCAAACCTGTTGCAGATTCTGATGAGGTTAAGTTACGTTTTATTAAGAGCAGAAACAGCTAGACAATGCATGGTTTATGGTGCACAGTCAGAGCTTATAAAACATACTAGAGGAGCACTATGGGACCCAATCTAATGAAAATAATGACCAGAACTTTAACAAAGGACTTCCTCATGTGCATTAAATGAACTGCTTCTGCCTCATGTAGGATTATGACTCTATAAAGCGTCCTGCTGTATCTGTGTGTGCTGTGTACTAACAAGTGTGCACCCCGAGTGTCTTTGTCCCGTTTGTTGTTGAACCTGAATGGACTCGTGTATCAATCCTAAAATGGAGGGAATCAAACTGCCGCTGTCTGGCTGCCGGCCCACTGTCTGCAGAGGAGCATAATGAATTTACAATCTACAAGGATTCAGACCAGACCAGCATTTTATTAAACAAAGAGGGATCAAGCCCTCCTAAATATATAATAGTAATGATCTACAATATAGCCAATCTGCCTCTATTCTGTTATCGGCAAAAATGCATTGTTAGTGTCAGAAGAAACCACAAACTTAGCCCTGGATTAGTCTAGCTTTTGTCTTGATTTATTTCCTCTTTAGTACTGATTTTAGTTTGATGCAGTTTTTAATCTAGTTAAGCCTTGGTTTAGTGTTTTAATCCTCGATTAAGAAGTAGATTTAATGTGGTCAGTCAGCTCAGAGGCTTATTTTGTGTCTTTGTAAATCAAAACTGGATTTGAATAATTAACTGCACTCTATGTTACTAAAGCCTTTACCTTAAGTTGTATTACCTGTCATATTATTCACGAAATGTCTAACATGTAGTAGTATTGAGCATGTACTACATCAATAAAACCAAATAGCATTACTGATTAGGGTCAGGTAGGAGAAAGTGTATGTGTTACACACTGGGGGTACTACTTTGTTACAACAGGAAAGTACTAGAATAGCCGCAGTAGCTTTACAAAAAGTATTTAAAAAAAATAAGAAATGAGAATAAACCCAAATATCATGATGTACTTAAAATTATATAACAATCTATCACTAATCAGAATTAAAAAAATAAAACATGAAATAATGATGATGATGATGATTATTACCATTGCTGTGTCTTTCAGGAGGACGGTCCTAAAGTGCTTGACATCCAGACGCCCACAGTCTCTCCCAGCACTCAGTCTGTGGGCAGTGCCAACAGCAGCGGAGGAGCCACCGACCTCTTCTCCAACTCGCCCATCGCTCCTGTCAACAACCAGTGAGTTATGAAGTCTAGACACTGCATTCATATTATAGACGGAGTGAAGGACAGAAAAGGTGCATGCACCAAGTAACTTTTCTAGTGGGGAGGTTCTCTACCTGCTTGTCTCCATAGAGACATTATTGCTTTGCTTGGAATGTTCAACAGTATCAAAGTATAAGGTATCTATCTCGCATCTGTTAAATAAAAAAAATGCTTATAAAACATGCATTCCTACTGGACAGACTTTTGACTTGCCCATGGAAATAAATAACTTTAGTGCCATTCTGTGGAATATTCCAGGCATACGAATAACATGGACAATAACAGAATAGTTACATACAACAGCTGTAAATGTTGATGTTTAGAAATTAATAAACATTTGGTTATATGATTAATTTTAACAATTCATACATCAAAACAATGGGGCAAGAGAAGATTAATCTGTTGTTTCATATGCACACATCACATTTTTGTAAATAACATTTTGAAAACTAAATCAAGATTGAGACAAGACCAAAGTTGTAGGGGTCAGAGAGAGAGAGGCAGAGACAATTTAATAAAACATTGGAGGAGATCCAAAAGAACAGTTATAAAATACTGAGGCAAAAAAACCAAACATGACTTAAAGAAGTAAAATGTCTATTCATGGATAGGCATTTCAGCTTCCTGTTTAAGGAACATTTTGAGGACTTTTCACCATTTAAAATATTTTTTACACTCTTAATTGCATCAATCTGAAATCCCTATCTTCCATCTAATTTAGGTTTTCTGAATATATGATACTAAAACAAAGAAGTATGAAGAGGTTGGTTTATTCTCATTTTAATCTTCTTTGTCTGTGAAAAGACAAAGAAAACCCTAAAATGTCATGCTCTCTATTTCCTGGACACTTCTGCCTCTGCACTGTCCACACACGTCCCATCACAGCTGACATTAACCACCTCAAACTCGCATTATTGGATTGCCCGCTTTTCCTTTTTACTTTTTTATAAACCTGCAAACTCAGACAGCCCTGCCAAGCTTCAGCGGGAGTGGCTCTCTCGATAAATAAAGTGCTTTATTGATTTCGCTTGGTGCACAAAATCAGATTAAAGTGGTTTGTGTTTGTCTGTTTGCATTGTGCCAAACATTTGAGCTTTGGGAAAAGGTGGATTTATACAGTTGTGGTGTAGTCTTTTGGTTTCAATTGGTTAGTGATTCTTTAGTCCTAGTTTAATCCTGGTTCAGAACATATTTGTTTTTTTGTTTTGTCTTGGGGCCAGTTATTAATTAGTTATTTTTAAGTTCTTGTTCTAGAGCTAGACATTTCTTTTCCTGGTTCAGGCCTTGTTTAGTCCTGATTTAGAACTAGTTTATTGCTTAGTTAGTACGTGTTTTAAGCCTGATTTAGTTCTGGTTTAATCCTGGTTTAGAGTTTGTTCAGTCTGGATTTAGTCTTTAATGACTCCGTGGTAGAATATTCGAAGTGACAGCATCTCCATAATGACAAGCAGGTGACAACCCTATGTGCAAGTGCATCTTGAATCTGTCATATTGATTTAAAAGAAAAAATTTAAATTGTACTTGTCAAAAAAGGTACATACTGTATCTTTTTTCCAAAGTCACTCAATCTTTAAGAGTTGTGTTGTGTATTTGCAGCATGCCAACCCTGAGCAGTGAGCTGTTCACCCTGCAGCCCACTTTCGCCCCCATCCCGACCGCTCACACTGTGCCCAATAACAACAACCACGCCTGGGGAGGTACGACGCTAATGCTATAACGCTGCATATTCATGAATCACACCTGCCTCACCTCATTTTCTCTGATGTTACCCTGGGAACGTCTCAGGTGATCTGCTGAAGCCGGCCCCGCCCACTCACATCCACAGCCCCGGAGCCCCACTGCATTCTGGGAAGATGCTGCCCAGTGATTTGGACTCGTCGTTAGCCAACCTTGTAGGAAGTGAGTACAGAGTTAAATCTTTTGTAGTTATTATTTTTTTAATTAAGGAATGCCTGACTTTAAATTGGAGAGAGGGTGGTTAAAGATGTTATCAAATGTTCTAAATAAGGTGGGTGTGTTGTTCTGAATATGTGATATGATCAAACCAATAAGCCATCAAAGAGCAGAGTTTTACATGTTTGTTGCAATTAAAGTCATATTGCATAAAAATAACATTTTGCTGCAGAAAAATCAAATCCAATCTTTTTCGTACATGCACTAAATGAGACATGTAAAACTTGATTATAATAACCAATGACCACTCCTATTCACTATGAGCTACGTTTGTAGATATCAAACTGTTGAAGATTGAACTTTAATTGTACATTAATTGCACTCATTTTCAGACTTGCATTTTGGAAGTGCACCAGCCAAAAAGTGAGTACTCTTTGTGTACTTGTAGGTTGTTGTTTATGTGTTCTTATTGTATTCAAAATCTGTATTCCTGTATCATCAGACCGGAGCTGCAGTGGGGAGGTCTGGTGGAGAAGAAGCCGTCCGGAGGCGGTGGATGGCAGACCAAAACCATGTGCACCAGCACCAACTGGGCTCACAGCACACACCCTATGGCCCCTGCACCCATGCCCGTCCCACAGATGGTGAGTCACCCTGTGCCCTACAGGGTTTTCAGTGGACAAAGAATTTCTCTCATCAACACAATTGCAACAGAACTGAAGAAACTCTGCATTTTATTTTCACTGCCACTTAAGAGGTAGTTTGTAAAATTGTGTGAGCATGATTTTTTTAATTATTATTATTATTATTTTTGTTTATTATTATACTATTATTATTATTACTGTATTATATCATACTTAGCTTCAACATTTATTATGAGAAAGTAGAGCCTATTCAATCATTAATAATATTTTGGGAATTAGTTTTTAAAAACCACACTGTGCTAAGATAGTGGCTTTACTCCATATTTTGTGATGCAGTATGAGCAACAATATTGTAGTAATATAGTAATGGTACTTAGAGTTGGACAGATTTTTAGAATCCAAAGCAGCCAATGCCTGGCACATTCTGATATATATATATCCCAATTTTGATTAATTCTGCTTCTCAATAAATATATTTTAATAGCTTTTTAACCTTACATTCCATAAGCATCACCATCTGTGGTGAACAAAAATTCTTCCATGCAAAGTCTCTGCTGCCTTTGTGGTTAGTATACATAAATATTAATACCCTTCTTTGTAGCTCCCACCACTGTGTTAAACTTCCCCACATTCACAAAGCAGCGTCCAACTCCTCTGAGTTCATTGTGCTGGTGATAATTACCTGCCCGTCACTTCTGTTCACTCCTCTTTCATCTTTTAATTTTGCTCTGATTGACCTCTCCACTCCCACTGCTCATGTATTCAGCAGACAGCCCCAAAGTCGTGACATGATTTCAATAGAAAGAGCCAGGGCCACATGACAAATGGCTATAGATCAGGGTAATCTCGGCTTCCTGTTCAACTTTTATTATGTATTCAAATGACAAAGCACATTTTTCTTTCTGTTTTGCAGAACGGGATGATCTATACTGGCTATGTACGTATTTCTTTACTTTTTCATTGTTAAGCATGAGACAGAAAATGTTGACTGGTTTGTGCATTGCATTTGACACATTTGAAACAGTTTTGCTCATTTTGGAGTTGGTAAAATTCAATTTGTCCTTGTTTATGTGAAGTTGCCTATTTATGACAGCAGTCTTCAGATGACATTCTGTTGTTTGTGGCTGAAAAACAGAAACTGAAAGCCCAAAAGCGCTTCAGTCATTTCTTTCTGTCTGCAGGCTGGTTTACAGAAACTGAGAGTTGAAATTATTGCCTTTTCTCAAATAAGTCACACGTGTCATGGTGGTTTACAAGGTGTGATTCCAGGTGGATCTACTCCATTTCTCATTCTAATAAAGGCAAAAAATGTGCTAAAGTCTGTAATCTAAACAAACAAGAACAAATCTAAATGTAAATGTGCACCATGTAACCTTTGTTGTGGAATGTATGCCACCGGCCTGACTCCATGGAGATGTTATTGCTTTGCCTGGAATGTTCCACAGAATGCCATTAAATTTCTCTATCTCCATGAAAACAAGCCAGTCCTTTGACAAGAATAGTTACATAGTGCACCTTCAAGTTCTAATGAACAATATCAAATAAATTGAATAAACTATTATGAGCCTATTGACATAATAACACAAGCAGAGACAAAACATTGCATATTCTGGCTCACGTAAAAGCAATTAGTTACTGTCTTTCTGTGTCGGTACTCACTGCTCCTTTACTCTTGTTCTCCTGCCCATCCTCAGGCTCCAGCACCAGTGGCTTTTCCTATGACGACACCTCAAGTGCCTGTGTATGGAATGGTAAATAACATCACACTACTGTTGTACACTGCATATTCAAAGACAGTTATACAAAATGTAAACAAATCATATAATGTTTTATTCATATTTCAATATTTTTTGTCATATTTAAAATAGTTACATTTGTACAAAAAAACAAACAAAAAAAACTTTCGCTTTCCATCTGAACACTTGGAATTGGTCTCTTTTGACCCCTGCTGGTAACAATGGGGAGGTGTTACAGACTATGAAAACTAACACCTTAATACTGTACATCATTTTATTTTCATCTCATCTGCAGCTCCCCCCTCAGATGGGTCATCATCAGATGGGGGGTGTTCCCATGATGCCCCCTCAGCCTGTCATGTACAACCAGCCTGTCCTGAGACCCACTAACCCCTTTGCACCCATCCCGGGAACTCAGGTAAAGGCACTGTCATTTTATTAATGCTATTTATTCAAAAGACGTACTGTTGTACTAAGAACTTGCAGCTAAGTAAAAAGATATAACAATATAATAGATGAATTAATCTTAAGTACATGTTCTTATTTCCAAAAAAAATCCTCTGCTATTGTACTACAAATTAAACTATGCAGGAGAGTCACTTTATTTTTCTGTTACACACATTTATGTAGTAGGTCAGTGCAAAAAGAAATGCAGTTTAAGCACCAGACTAAAAGTGTCACAAATATAGACATACTAAAGTATCAGTTTGTGAGTTAAACAATCTTTTAACTAAAACATTTATCACTGGCAGCCATTTTGCATTTCTTTCGTCATAATTGAATTTATATTTTTGCTGAATGCATTTATCTTAGTCACCAGAAAAATGACAATATAAAGCCCTGCTGAAGTAAGATTTAATGGCCAAAAAATGTCTAGATGTGAATATTTTGTATTTAATGATCGGGCTGTCACATCACTGTCAGGGTGGAGTGCTTCTCATCTGCATAAATACAAGGCTCTGGGCTAATGAAAGCTTTCAGCCTTGCAGACATCTCAGCGAGCAATAAATAAATAAATATACAGACAAATATATGAGCATGTCAACAGGAATGACAACTTAAAATGAAATGAATCTGAAAAAAATTGCTAATATGTTTTGGCTTTGAGATGTGTAGCTAGGTTGTATGCTGTCAATTATACTTTCTTTTCAAGTAAAATTAATTGAAGAGAGACCTTCACAAATGCATTGGTCCCATATCACAATCACCATGTAGTGTTAATGTAGAATATTTTGTTAATGCTTTTCTTTCAAACACATTTTTAGTTATTCAATTACATATGGTTTTATTGATCAAAAACAAATCGGAAAACATGCATTCTTACTGTGAGTGGGCCTTCCTTTCCACAGATTTGACCTGTAACTAAGCCCTGTGTTGTCATCATCAGAACTTCGTGGGTACATGATTTATACATCACTGTGAAATATTCTGTAGCAAATAGCGTCTCCATAGAGATATGCAGGTGGTGGACACTCAGCCGGAAAAGTTACATATGCATCTTTAACAATGATTTTATTAAAGTTAATATTTTTTACTGACTCCTTGTGGTTGGGGTTTGCAATGAATGATAAAAGTTAAATTTAATGAAATCAGACAAGCGCGAACAGCCTCAAAAAACCTCAACATTCTTACGTAACATATTCTGTATAATAAGATAAATACAATGGATAGTGTAACATTAGACATCCGGAACCATTATGTTTTTCCCGTTTGAAAGTTCAAAAAAAGAGGCACAATTATTTCGTTGCTGGATAATATGAAATTCACTCCGGAAATTTGCCATTTTTCTTTCAAAATGAAAAGCCACAGTGAATAAGTCACTGGGGAGGCGAATGAACAAATGATGTTTTATGTTTTGGGCAATTATTGCAAACATTGCAGCTTGAAAGATTGTGTGTGTTATTGATGATCGTACGGCAGGTATAAAGCTGCTAATGTTAGGTAATGCAGTCGTCAGTAGATGCCTGAACACTTGATAAGATGTTTTGTTGAACTAAATTACTCTTGCTTTTCTCCCTTTTCATAGATGCACTTCATGTAACGATAACATCGTAACCATAGCAGCCAAGTCGAGAGGAAAGAGGAGAGAAAGAGTCGAAGAAACAGATCCAAGCAAATGGCAAAAAGGCAGAGTGGTCCAAAAATCAGGGTGGAGAAGAAATTGCTGCATGGATCAAAACCGATGTCTTGTTTTCTTGGCTCTCTGGTCTCTCCTCTGCCCAAGGCCCAGGACATGAGAATCCGCTATATATCATCAACCACTCATCCTATTTTCGGAAATTTCAATCAACACCAAGAAATTATGCTACAAAGATCGTCAGCATCCTCCTTTAACTCCTATTTCCCTCTAAAATGAATCAAACTTGTGAGGCATTTTTGGATCGTTTGCTGGCACTTTACTCAGCGTAAACTTTGCCAAGGTTGTGCGGATGAAGTGATTGAAATGTCTAGATTCCTGGTAGTGTCATTTGTCACTATGATGTGAGAAGTGGCTAATTAGGTGTGTGTGTGTGTGACCAATTTCTTTTTTACATTTACATGTGCTATAATAAGTTCTCAATTGCCAACTAAATGTTCAAACTTGGAGGGCATATTTTGAGTGAGAGTGATTGGACGTAATGTTAATGTATGAAGTAGCTATGTCTTTTTTTGGTACCTGTAGTCTTTAGTGTAGCCAGGTGCCCATATGTTAAATGCACTGGAACTACTTACAATGGAAAGCACTGAGCCAGACCCAGGCATCGCATTTGGATGTAAAAATCACATACACCTCTGCTGTACCTAATGTCTATTTGTTGTACAATATCATGCAATTTGTCTGTCCAATCATTCCCATTGTAGACCTATAAGAAGCTATTATTTGTTCGATTTTTTGGAGGTCCATTTTCTGACAAATGTATTTTATTTTGTTTCTCAAGACTCAAAAATGCACTGAAAGCAAGACTGAAAGAGGGCTTCAAGAAATATACAACCACATAATAATTAGTTCCCACCCCAGCATAACTTAAGGATGATATCAGTATGAATTAATCACTTTTTTATGTTTTTAACTATTGACTATGGCAGGTTCTATGTTGTGCAGACAGACAAGCAATTTCTCTCACTTTTTCTATTGACTATTAGAGCCAAGTATATAGGTAAGCCTGTGTACCCAGAAAAAAGACAGGGTAACATGAGGAGGGAGGGAAAAAAGACCCTCAAATCCTACATGGTGTCCTTCTTGTCTTGGGCACTGTTCAGAAACCTACTCCCCTTTAAATGCCAAAAAACCTTGAGTTGATCTTTTTATCACGGCTCCGAGGTTGTAAGGACACTGCAGCGAAGAGGGATTTGCTCCCATATAGCTAACATTTATGGATGGGAAGGTCAATTGGAAGTGTCAGGAAAAGCAAAAAGCTAATGTCTGTCGATCAGGACCCTGTCCTCAGTGAAGATATTCAGATTAATTCAGTCAAATGTGCTTTTAATGAGACGTTAAAGGTTAATGTAGTTGTATTTTTGTTCTGGCAAATCCAAGGTCACTATTAACCCTCAGATAGTCAGGCCGATTGACAGTATTATATATAGCACAAAAACCTCCAAAGAGGTGACAACGCTCTGCTGCACAAAGTAAAAATCATTGCTGGGATGTACAGTCGAAAGGGGCAATAATTTGATCGGGGGATGGAGTTATTTTCTATTGATTGTGTATGTCTTCAATGTACATGTACTTAATGTGTGTTTGTGTGCATTTTGCCTTCCCATTGAGATTAACAGGGTTATGTAGTTTGCCGCATCAGAATTCAAGGTATTCCGATTAAGTTCATTTGGCCTGGTAAGAATTCAATGTGACTAGAGACTTTTCATTTGCTCAAATCTTAACCTGTCGGCTCCTCCCTTCTGGGGTCATGAAAGCATAGCTTCTGTTTCAGCATGATTCGCAGATTGATTGGCATGTTTTGTTTTTTTTATGCCAGATGCCCTCCCTGAGGCATTTATTAGAACTTTGGAATCAGCACTGAGAGTGCTAAGGAGGACTTTGAGTAGAATTGTTAATCAAAGAAGAAACGTTCTGCCTAGCCGGTGATGCAAATTCATGTTAAAACTGACACTTTGGGACTCTCCCGTTGAACTGCTGGCAATGCACGCTACAAACTCCAGCTACAAGACCAGCAAAGATTTGAAGAATGCTGTGAAGGTGCAAGTCAGATAAAGGTCTAAACCAGAAATGAACCATGACTAAAGCCGGACAAAGCCAGATGAAGCTCGAATATCTCCTTTGGAAGTTGACAACATACTCTCAAACATCATTACTTGTCCTTGTGGTTCATCTTACTCAACTTAAAGCTCTTTTCCATTCAACCAATCAGCGCAGCTCAAATCCATCCCAGATCCACCTTTTTGACTGTTAACCGTGTCCACTGTATATAGGTAATGCCGTTCATGTGTTTTAAACGTGCTCTCTCTGTAAAGTGATCCAATCCCCATTTTGGATGTACGTGGGACAATTTCTTGCCGTTTCTGTGTTTGAATGGTTGTATTTTAAAGTTGTCATCATCCAGGGGAGGAGGGGAGGGGCGTGGGGTGGATTTTGGGTCAATGTTTTTAATGTATGTGTCCATCTTGGAGGAGGAAAGGGTTATTTGGGAAGGGGGTCTTAACTATCACAACTGGTCAATACCAAGAGTGTCTTCATCAAGGGAGGGGACAGGACAGGGTCTGCCCCCTTCGAAACAGGAACATTTTTTTGCACCAAAGTCATCATCAACGCGCAGCTTCTTCTAATTCAAGGTCACTATGGATGGATGATATCTGAACTCTGATTTCTAATTTTCTTTTTAAGAGACAAGGAAACTGTCTTTTTTGCATGATTAAGTGTCGTCTTTTTATTGGCTTGTGTGCCCGGTAAAAGCATGACCATTGTGTGAACTCTCACTTACCGGTGTGTTTGGGAAATGTAATGAGATTTTTTACTTACCTCTTTGACATGAACGTCCATTGACATTCATAATCAACTGTTTTACAAGATAGGGTCAGTAAGTGTTTGAAGGCTGCTGCATGCAGTAACCCATCAAACTTCAAACCCAGTTACCATCTCTGGATCTTTGTAAAACTCCATGGATGTCAATGCCATCACCTAGCTAGCTAAAACTCCATGGATGTCAAAGCATCACCTAGCTAGCTAGACATTTGCAGTCTTGTAAAATTGCTCTTTATTAAAGCAGTGCTATTTTCAATATGTGTTTGAATGCTTGCTCTTTTTTCATACTATGCCAGCAGTATCTTGGGAGGTTGTGATGAAGGTCAAAGTACTGTAATATATGTTTGGTCTGGTCCACTTTGTGTGGTGTTTCAAGTGTTTAAAGTCTTGTCCTGTTTGTCCTCATCAACTGGACTGTGTCATTTCCCATAATCCTTTTAGGCTGGTTTCCTCAATACGGGTCTGAGGTTAATTTTAAAAACCACAGTTCTTATGTTCAACAGAACATGGACATTTAACATACAGTTACAACACTAGTCTGAATAAAATCATAGCAATCATTTACTTCAAACAGTTTGAAATAAACAGTTACGTTTTGGCATCAAAGAACATTAACAGATGCAGTCTTTGTTTAGTTCTTATGACTCACAACTATATCTTTGCATCGAGATCACCTTCGTAGGACAGCAGCTGGAAACCAGACCTAGACATCAGAGCAGTGTTTTGTCACAATGTCCATTCAGTTTCACAGTACGCAGTTAATCGTGTCCCGAGAACTCATTACCTCACTGAGCGCTAACATTGTGAGAACTATGTCTGACCATTTGTATTTCTTGTTGAGGGCTCAGTGTCCATGGAACAGTCTTAGCAGGGAGCGAGCTTTCAAAGCGCCAAATGCTTCTCATTTCCTTTTTATGTATCACAGTGACAACAGGTTTGCAATGTTATGGAATTATTGATTTTTATTTGGAAAGCATAGATGTTTTTCAAAGAAAAGCTCAATAAAATTGTCAGTCTAAAAATACAAAATGAACTTAGTTTGGTTTCATTGAAATTCATTTATTGATAAACATATCGAAGAACAGAGAACAAAATGCCTAAAACAAATGATTTTGTGTAAGTTGTCATTCATACAAGACTGTGGCACCAACTATCCTTTAGGGCCAAACGTGAAGAGTCAAGAGTTGAACCAGCAACCAATCCTGAGCCAGGATTAACAGAAAAGGATGGCCTATCGCTGTGCTCTTGAGCAAGGCACTTGACCCCAATATGGCCCTTGGGGCTAGAGTACAAAAATGAAGTAATTCATACCGGCAGCTCTGTTGGAACGAAAAAATGGGTCTAGACTACAAGGAGGAGGAACGGGAGTCTTTGATGCATTCTGGAGCAGGAATGTTTGAAAATATACAACAAAAGCAAAAAGATTTGGAGGAAGTTATTTTTCATTTGAAACATTTCCAGATCCTAGAAGAGAAGTCGTGGAGACGGACAGGTTTGTGTGTGTGTGTGAGGGAGGGGCGTGTGTGGTCTGAGTGGTTACCTTAGCGACGAGACAGCTCAGTGTCCACAGCAGTTCAGGCCTAACGCTGCTGTTAGTCCCATCCCACGCTACAGGGGCGTCCGGGCAAGGGCTCAGTTTGGCTCCCTCCCACTCTAGCTGCAATAATCAGCAAGAGGAAGAAGGTGGCTGGAGCAGCAGCAACAACAAGGCATGCAACTAACAGTTCAGATGGAGCGTGTGGAGGCTGTGTGTGACTTACGCTCACTCCCACCGGCCTCACAGCTCCAGACTGCTTCACAAGTGTGATCTGCAGTAAAGACATGATCTCGAGTGAGTGTCTCAACAATGGCTTTCAGAAATGTTAGGGACATGTTAGGACAGTTACTGCAGTGGCCCCAAAACGTCATGTTACTGTACCAACTCGAATGCTTTAGCACTCACACCACAAAGTTTTACCTCAATCGCAAACACTAACTTAAACAAAGACCACCTGCACTTTTGTCTGTGCTAGTTTAAAGTTTTACATTCCAAAATGATAAAAATGCCTGCCTCTTAAGTACAAGAGCCATAGGTGTCTATCTCTGAACACAACCTGAAAAACACTCCCTCTTAATAACAGTCTTCGACGAATGACCAAGTTTGTGCGCTTTTTGCATTCTAAAAGTCAAATTTGTTCATATTTGCATGTAAATTTAGATTTCATTTCCCTTAAAAAAATCATTGTATATTCCACCTATCAAAAGGCCGACAAAAATAACTCATCACTATTATACCACAATTATTTTGGGGCAAATTTTTTGGCATTGGTCATCCAATATTAAATCAATCAATATTGCTTTTTTTCTGTCCTTACATATATTGTGAGACACAACAATGTACAGTTCAAATGTATTGATTACATCCCTGGTCAAGGTGCTCTGTATGTGGAAAAAGGAACATTGCCACCTGGCTAATAATTCTCAAATAACAATATTCACTTTCCTATCCTGTCTAACCAAAATATAACTATTACAGTCTTGAAATCCTCATGGAGACCAGTCTGAAGCAGACAACAATTTGCAAAAATGCTAAATTGTCACCTTCATACATTGTAATACTTTCCATAGAGAACTGAACCAGACATCCACTCCTGATACCTTTTATAGAACATAATGAGGACTTAAAGCCAACTGTCAATAGCAGTCAATGCCTGCAAATCCTCAAACAACTCATCTACACTTTTTATTTTACAAAACCATATACACTTTGTTTCTGCAAAAATCCAATTGTAAAGTCTCTATTTATAATCTCTCCATTTTAACTCTCTCTCTTATCAGACATACACAAATGCAAAAGTGTGGAGCAGTGTGTGCCTATCGGTAAGGGGGCTCTGGCGTATGGTAAGGGTAATCGTTGCGCTGGGCAGTGGGTTGGCCGTGTGCGGGTGTCTGCTCATACGGTGTCGCTGGGTAAGCTCCCGTTGAACCATAAGCTCCTGCTGCATAGCCCGCAGAGGTGTCGTAGCCCCCGGCTGTCGCACTGTACGTCCCAGCTGACGTGTCATAGGAGCCTGCGGCGCTGTTATAGCCCCCTGAAGTGTCGTACATCCCTGGAGGAGGGTAGGCGTAGTTTTGGGGAGCGGAGTATGTTCCTTGAGGGGCCTGGGCTGCGGTGGAAGGTGGGGCCTGAGTGGAGGCTGGGGCGGGGGGAGGAGGGGGCGGAGGGGGGTTGGTGTAGGCGTACTGAAGGTACTGGTACTGTTGTTGGTACTGCTGATACTGCTGGTACTGCTGCATCTGCTGACAGTACTCAGTGTATGACCTGTCAAAAGTTGAGACAACACTGTTTACCAAGTAGTTACAAACAAAAGCATTTATATATACTAGATGAACTTGCTCCTTGCCTGGCAACGGGGTCAGCTCCTTCAGGGGCAGCAGCTGCAGCGGTGGACCCAGGATCCTCAGGGGCCCCTGGTGGTGTGGGCAACAAAGCTCTGCGTTTGGGTCGGCTTGGGCCAAATGATCCTGGGACTGGGTCAGGGAGGAGGGGGGCACGGTTCCCTCTAATGGGGCTACGGTCACGCTCGGTCTCTGGTGGAGCCTTATTTCCTGCATGTTGCTCAGCCAGTACCTATATTTTAAAACAGTATATACATTGTAATTGAAAACAGTACATATTGAAAAACACATATTGGGAAAAAAAGCTCATTTGAGAAACAAACCTTTTGTCCATCTTGAAAAAACTTGGCCCGTGCTGCCTCAAACAGTGTTGTGGGATCAGGGGCAGTGGGGACCTCGGGCTGTTTGTAGACCTTATCAGCCACTGACCCGTAGACTTGGCTGGCCAAAGCCCCGTATATGACTCCATCTGCTCCCTTTGAACTGGTGATGCCTCTGAGGGCTGTGTAAGTCGGATCTAAAGGTGTGGTGTTGTAGAATGAATTGTGGACACTTTGCTGAACCTATGAGAGAAGATTACATCATATATGAATTGCACACTTTTTAATTAATCTAAATCTTAAAGAGAATTACCTGAATGGGAAGTCCAGCTGCAGCAGCTGCTGCTGCAGCCAGCACAGCTGCCTGACTCTGGTGATGCTCCAGGGCAGGCCTGGGGAGAAGTCCTTCTCTGCCTACAGAGCAGAGAGGAAAGTCCAATTAAATAAGGATAAAATACTTACATTCCACAGTCCATTGACATCTCTAGATATTAACCATACCTGAACCATCCACTGCTGCAATCTGATTGGCTAAAGGCTGAGCCTTTGATAGCTCCACAGCCAGTTGTCGGCCTTTGTAAAGGCTTCCATTCAGAGCCTCAATTGCTGTAAGGGCTTCGTCCCTCCTCTCCATGTGCACAAATGCATAACCAACATTGGAACACAGGCGTGCTGTAGAAAGACCCATCTGTTAGACAAATCTACTTGTCCACCACGGTTAAGAAGTATACCACCTTGTTTTTCTTAATTCCAACTGACCTTTGACTTTATCACAGTCCAGCACTTTTCCGTAGGAGGAGAACAGTGTATGCAGGTCATCTGCTGAACATGTTGCACTGAGGTTTCCAACAAACACTTTAATGGAGTTTGGAGGGCGCGCTCGTGACTCCTCAACCACCAGGGGCCTTCCTCTGTACTCTTTGCCATCGAGATTCCTTATGGCCCTATGAAAATAAACAACATGTAGCATTTAAGTTAAAAAACACACACACTAAAATTATTTAAATTGTAATGGTCACCTACCTGTCAGCTGCCCCCTCACCCTTTAGAGTTACAAAGGCATATTGTCTAAGCAGTGAGCAGGTGTTAATTTCTCCAAAGGGTGCAAAGAGTTTGTTCAGTTCGTCTTCTGTAGCGTCTGCAGGAAGATTCCCCACGAAAAGTTTTATGTTGTCACTCATTTCTGTTTCAACCTGGCATCTGCAAAAAGACAAAGAATGAATTTTGATATCTCTAACTTTGTAGTTAAATAATAAGACTGAGGTCGAAGTAATAATATGTAACTGTGAAAGGTTCAAATATGAGCTTAAAATGAGAATGCACTGACGCTAGCTTATTTGTGCTAACCTAATGCTGACTGCGGCTCTGTGTAGATGATCCTGGCCGCTGAAGTGTACACACCACGGACCTGGATTTATAGTCAAATGTAATAACTGTGGGAATACAGTTATTACTAACGAGACTAGTCTGAAACGGCTACCCCAGGCGCCTCTGGACGAGACGGATCTGGAAGGCCACGAACGCTTTAGCTGACGTTAGCCCAATCCTTTAGCCCATTGCTAACACAATTCAAACGGGCTAAACAGAGGTTTGTTCAAGATGAGATGGTGGTAACTAAACTGTTAAACTAATAATCAATTACCCGGTTTCTCCGTGTTCAGATGTGGTGGTTTATAAAAGCGTAATAAGAAAACAAAACTAAAGCGCGCAGTCGTTTCTTACCAAAGGCGAACAGAGCCGAGTTCAAGCGTTACATCCGTTTCCGGTTTGACTCATGTCAGGCGTTCCTTCCCCAACAGAGGGCGCTGTTTACTACAATTAAATAACTCGTAGTGTCAACAATGACACGTCCCCAAAAAGAGTGATGAGCATTTTATCTATGGCTAGACGCTTTTTTACAAGTTTTGCATATAGTTGGACCTGAGGCAATAGCGTACTTGAACCATTTAGAAGATACCCCATGAGCACCCGCCCATAGCCAAAAGATAGTGTCTTCTATTGCAGTCTCCTAAGCATGCAGGCAGAGGAGGACAAGAGAGAAGCAGGAGGTAGAGCTGCTGAGTTTGAACAAGGTGCTCTACTCAACAGGACTGCGATCTGTTTCTCTATCCACGAGAGGGTAGCAAATCTTCCATGGTAAAGAACAGATCCACGGTGAAGCGCTCTGACTGAAGCCCACACTGCCCTCTGGTGAACACTTTCAGTCTTTTCCTCCTGCAGGATGTCCCACGGATGGGGCGTGCTCTGGCAGGGGCGGCGCTGCAGGTGAGGTCAGGTGGGATGGTGGGAGGAGTCAGATAGAAACACGGAGGCACTTCTTTCCTACGCACGTCGTGACAGGCCAACTGTGCAAAAACAGACTCATTTATGCTGTTGGAAGGTTATTGAAAAAGCACAGACTTAAGTGAGAGAGGAACGGTGTAATACAAAAGGTACGGTAATTAGTTTTCTTTATTAAAAAAAACGTATCATTGTCCTAAGAATGTGGCGTAAAACGTGCAAGTTCCAAAGGAATGTGTGCTATTGCTTCAGTTTTTGCAGTTGGTGGACATATACTTTTGATTTTCAGAGATGATTAGTAGCGCCTATTGTGCTCAACATATACATTTGTTTGTTGGCTTTACATTAAGAATATTTCACTTTTTAATTTTAGGACGGTCTAAGCTGCTGCACTTCACCAAGTCCGGACTTGCTGTCTCGATCCAGGCAGATTTATTACGCAGGTGTGAGGGGAGTGTGTTAAACTGTAGTGGTTATGATTGGGAGCCACCAGGACAGGTAATTACCGCTTCAGACATCAAACTGCGGGAAGGGCCGATAAGAGCAGGACAGTAATTATCCATATCCCTGTGTGCGCAGATGGCAACGCAAGAGGAACCGCTGTATGACTTCCCCGAGCCCTCCCTGACCTCCAAGTTCAAAGTGCATCAGCGGAGCCGCGGGTCCCTGAGAAGCATCAGTGTTTTGGATCGGCTCCTCCTCACTGTCCCTGTGTGGCTTCAACTGTCAATCAACCCAGCCACGGCTCTGCACATCCTGCAGCGAGAACCTCCAGGGGTCAGACACATGCACATCACAATATCCTATAGCAGTGGTTTTCAAACATTTTACACCAAGCACCATCAAAAATAAGATTTATGAGATAAGACAATTTACCCAAAAGAGGATATAAGTGTAAATATGCATAGACCTATATAAGAACTTATTATACCTGTATATACAGCCACAATGAGATGTGTGTGTACCGTGCCACAGTTTGAGAAGCATTGACCATTAGTTTCAGGGAAAAAATGCACTGTCATAGCATATAAAACTAATATAATATTTAAAAATGACTAATGCCATGACTAGTTATTAAACCAGTTAGTCCCACCCACACATAACTTTCTTTACTGACTTTGCAGGTGCTGGGTTTCAGTTGACATCACAGCATTCTACAGATCAGTATGATTTAATACAGATGAGGAGTAGCTAAAATGAATATTGTTAAAATGCCAATTTTCCTGGTAACAGAGAGAGTTCTTGTGTCTAGTCAATAACAGAAATAACCAGGTTCAACATTTGGTACTTGACCTATTAGATATTTCATGATAAAGTACAGTGTAATAAATAGGAAAAAATGCCTCTTGCCCCCCATCTGGGAGCATGACATCATCATGAAAACCACCAATAACTGTTAAATGCTGCGATCCAATGGCACAAACCAAGAAGTTATCTGAATAAAAGCTAATGCTCCACTAAATAGTTTTGTGTCCCCACCTTTGCCCAGGGCACGTGTGGCTTAATAAATGTAGTAACTCAACTGGCAATGAGAGTTACTTGACTGGATAGATAAGCTGCTGTATAAGCCTACTTGTGTCTATAAGCTTGCTTCCTGATAGGTTTGAAATATTTATTTGGTTACTGTAAATAAAGAAAAAAAATCATAGGCTAATCCATGAATATTATCTTTTAGACATTTCTGGTTCGAAATTCTCGCACATCCCAGAAAAAAGTGTTGTGTATGCGTTTGGCTGACAACAGTGTACCATCTTTTGTTCAGCAGTTTGATATTCAGGAGGAACAGTCAAGTAAGTTTTCTGCAAATCTTAATTTCATCAAGCAATACATTGGTGTTGTAAAAATTTTTTTGTTTTTTTTTTCCTTCAATGTTGAATCTTTTAGCCTTCTCCCTGGTGACCTCAACCATCAGTTTCCCAGATCTTCCAAGACTCATTTCCTTTTACTGTGTCAGCAGGTAACACTACTATTTGCCAATTAAATGCTGAACTCAACACTTCTTAGTTGTTTATCTTATTCTTTTTCTTTCAGAGATGTGCTGCCTTTCCCACTGGAGCTCCCAGAAGCAATAGCAAGAGCAACATCCCACAAAGAACTGGAGTCCATCTCACACATGGGAATAGGTCAGTAATCACAACACAGATGACCAGGAATGAGTGAATGATGGATCTACAGGTGAGGAAAAGGCAAAGGTACATGTAGCTGTAATAATGAGGATGGATTGTAATCAGGAGAAAGATAAAGCCAGATCTTGTTTGATGTTTTAGAGGAAAACCAGATGCCATACTAACATAGAGGAGAGAGAATTTGTTTGAAAAATGCTGCTGTTTAAAGTACAAACTACCAGGCTCCAGTCCAGAGGACACCAAAGAGGGAATTGTTAGTATGTTGTGAGGCAAGGCAAGTTTATTTGTATAGCACAATTCGTACACAAAGTAATTCAAAGTGCTTTACAGAATAAGAAATACATTAAAATCATAATAAAAACAAATCAAAACATAAATAATCATGAAGATTAAAATTAAAAAAGAGAGACATAAATTGGAGAGAAGAGTGAGGAATGAAAACCTTTCAGTTATATGCACAGTTAAACAGAAATATTTTGAGCCTGGATTTAAACTGCGTCACAGAAGAGGTCTGTCTCACATGTGAGAGGAAGTGATGTTTAATGATGAAGCATAATTTTATCTATAAGCATAAATGGCTGAACCATAATTTTTTTAACATTTCTAACAGAATTCTGGAATTCTCACTTGAATGTCCGCGGTCCACGAGAAGCTCCTAAACACCAGAAAGAAGAGCCAGAGAAGAAACCAGACACTGCCACCACAGTTCCACCTCCAGCTCCTGAGGTCCAGGCGAAACAAGACCACCAAACTGACCCTGACAACAAGCCTATGACCCCACCTGAAGCTCAGCCAGTAACGGGAGACTCTAGTGCAGCTCTGTTTAAGGAGTTTTGCCCCATCAAAACTCGTAGCCCAAAAGAATTAAACTATGGGTCAGGCATTGGAGCCCTCTGCTTTATTAACCCACTTTTCTTGCAGTCCCTAAATGCGTGGTCAAGGCGACGAATGTTCAAACGCAGCCTCAAAGTTCGAGTTTCGACAGAGAGCTCAACTTTGCTGTCACCGCCACTCGCTCCACCCCCGCCACCACCGCTGATGCCAAAATCTAAGGCTCGCTGTAAAGCTAAAGATAAGGGTACAAAAGCAGCTGAGCATATTAGCGATACTAGCGATGATGCTGTAGAAGAAAATACTCAGAAATCTCAAATTAACACCTTAGATGAGGAGGACTATACCGAGCTTCCATCTAGGACAAGGAAAGAATTTATTGAAATCAATGAGGAAGTTTTACCTCTACCAACTGTTATGGAGAGCCTAGTCGAAGATGCAGACTACAAACAACCAAATCCTGTGATAAATACTTCCCATCCACTTTCACCATACCTGTCTCCAAAATTACCTAAAAAATCTATGTCTCTCTCTCCTCGCAATTCTCCCAGCACGAGTCCTTCTGCATCACCTTATCAGTCCCCATCTCCATCTCCCAAAATGCTTTCGCCTCTGCTGCCATTCTCCTCTCCAACTTGTAAAAGTCCAGTGGCTAAAGATGCTTATGATATACCAGTTCCATATTCAAAACCAGATCAACTGCAGGTGCCTGAAGCTAAATGTATAGTGGATAAACTACCAGAGGGTGTGGATAAAGATGTATTGGAAAATGAGTTCATTGAGCAGATTAACACTGTGGCTTTAAAGGACAAAGACAGTAGTTCTTTGAGCGGTCAAGAAGAGGCACAAGAGTTGCACTCAACAGTCCAACAGAACAGTACTTCAAGTTAGAATTCAACTCACTTAGATATGGCATTCACTGTGCTTCTTAAACGTGAAATGGAAATGAGCACAGAAACGAACTGAGCACCAAATGTGTTTTGTATCACAAAACACTGGTTTTAGACTGGAACATATTCAAATGATGTAGTATGATATAGTATTAACTCATGTCTTCTTAGTATTTCAATATTTATTAGTGCTACTTTATTTAACTGGTTAAAAAAAAAGGCCAACTCTGCAATTGTTTCAATTCAGACCTTGAAAAGAAATTTAAGTGAGTGAATAAAATATATTTTAACTTCACCACATGTTGAACTGAGTAAACAGTAAGATTCTTTGTATGGCTAAAATTGTATCATAGAATATTAAACTTCAACCAACAGTATTTGATTTGAAAAAAAAAACTGTAGATTTTATGTAATTTCTAGAGATACTAAAATCTTAAATTTAATAAACTTATTAAACTTTGTATCAAATGACTTTATTTGTGCAGATTTAACATACAATGAGTGATTATGTAATGTTTATAAATGCTTTCTGAACTCGTACATGTAAAAATAAGGGCAGGTTTGTGTCCAAGGAACACCATCACCTTTCAAAAGGCATACATTGATCACTGAAACATTGACAATTTGTTGTATACTCGAAGAGCGATTGTTAAAATAACCGTAACTGAATAAGTGCTGGTTTATCTGCATCTTCAAGTTAACCATCAAGGTTAGTCCAAAACACGGAGGTGCTCCCTTATGATCACATATGTATTTAAAAATTATCCATCTGTTGATGTGTGAGATTAAATGGGCAGATTTCAGTTTGTATCTTGCACAAATGAAGGTGAGTGGATCAGCACCAGCAGGGGGCATCTCTTTTGCTGAGCTCCAGAAGCTGTTCCTCCAGCTGCTCAGTGTCCTCCTGAAAACGCTCCACAAACGAGGTGATGAGACCGGCTGCACTGCCCTCGTACTCCACCAGCTCCACCTCCTCTCCTACGCACGCAAAATACTCAGTTATAAACACAGCTGCTGTCTAGATAGGTGGTCATAATCAGGGATTCCACTGGAAGAGAAAGATTCTTGACAACACCATACCTCTGACTTTGGTATTGGCCTGGACGAACATTTTGCGAGCCTCTTTTCGTAGTAGGACCGTTTCTCTGAGACGCAGGAAGTTGTGAGGTCCGCTATCGCTGACGGTGGAGTATTTCTCATAGAGAGCCCTTCCTCCCTCAACATCAGCTGTTGACTTAAACACCTAGAAAATGGTCATATTGTGAATGGGATTGTGATTTATACAGACACTCTTACACACTGTCAAGCGGCAAGGCTGACAAATGGAGAGGATTGGCACAGAAGAGTATTTAGCTCGAATATCAGTGTGAATCACCGGACCTTGGGAGGCAGTACTTTGTCGGGGTGACTTCAAAATGGGGGAAAAAAAAAGACAATTATATGTAAGACTTCTCACTGCATATGGCAAGTGAGGGGAAAACTGTTACTGTGTGACGAGTTGGCCTCATATCCTTATGGATTGTATCATTCAAATTCAAAAACACGTCTTGGTAAAGCAACTAAAAGGCAAAACGCTAGGATGTGCCTCTGCCACATTTTTCAAACTCATTACTGGCACAGTGCCATGAAATAAATGCCCAGATTTTTTTTTTTTTTACCATTACTGTACACAATGCTATACCTGCAGTTTTTGAAGAAACCTGTTGATGGCATCCTTGCCCACAGTGTGGATCTTGCAGCGGTCCAGTGTGATCACAGCGTCTGGTTTTCCGTCTTGTCCGGTCACTTCTTGCAGACCAACAAACCCCTCTCCAGCCTCCAGTAAAACACTCAGGATCACAAACCGAGCCTGCATGTGGGCCTAAGGACCACAAATGACACTTATTATAAACATGAACTGACTTTTATACAAACACAGACACAGACTCAGTACAAATATGCAGCAACTGGTGCTAAAAGATAGAAAAACACTTGATGCTATGTCTGCTGATATGAATTAACTGTTTAAATGTCATAATGCAGTCCAAAAAAAGATAAACCAACACCACATTTAGCAGAATAAACTATTTCTTAACAAGCAAACCAGGACATGAATACATATTTTTGAACCACGAGAAAACTTGTTACTCCTTACTCAACTTTATATCTGCTCCCTACAAATAAATATTGAACAACAAAAGACTCAGGAATACAACAGAGCAGGAATACAACAGAGCAAGTAGACTTAACAGTATACATTGACACATTCCATGATGTTACCTGTCTCCAGCTCTTGCTCTCAGGCGTGTAAAACTCCAGACCCAGCAGACCAGCTCGGACCATACTCAGCCAGTTTATGTAGACCACATCTTGCGCATCCTGACCCTCATGGCCGAAAATGCTAATATAGAGAAACAGATACAGTTAAAGAGGACCTATTGTGCTTGTGTCTGGTACATAGTTATAAATTATGACACCTGTGGATCATCATGTTATAATTTGCACATTTTAAAATTGTAATATTAATCTAAAATAACCAAATAAAAGACAGAAATCAGCTGACTTCTGCATTAAAAAACTTTAGTGCTGAATGGGAGCAGACGTCACCGTAAGCAGAGAACTGTGAAGTTGTCTGCATGGATAGACAGCCATAGATCAAGCTAGCAAGAAGCACATTTTTGTTTTCATTTGTACCAAAATGGCTGTTACACTGCTGATTAATAAAATAAAATTAGATGAAGTAAAGCGGATGTGAGCATATGCTAATGGTGGTGAAAATAGGTTAATTGGCAATATGCCATCTTGAAAATAAGCAATTAAACATTGTTCAAAAATGCACAGATCACCACAAACACAACTTTGAGTGGGTAAATGGTGAAGGGAAACAACTATAACATGCATCAAAGGTCTGCTTTAAGATGGTAACTAAATAACAATATGGATTAATAATAATAATAATCAATAAAATAAAAATGTTTACTTCACTGTGAAAACCTAAAACTAAAAATGGAAAAGGTTATATAAAGTGCTTCATTTATGTGCTTTGCTTTATATATATATATATAAAAAAAAAAAAAAACTCTGGAAGAATGACAAACTGTCTACTCAACTATTATGGTTCAAGTTTACGGTTATGCTTAAATCACTGACACAGAATTGCAGCCAAAGCGACTGCCAAATGAAAAATTGAGACTAGACTACAAGGCATTTTTTTTCTCATGACACAAGCATCATTCTGGGTTGTACTGTGGTAGTAATAATCATTCACATAAATCATATCTTAATCTCTATCTACAGTATTTGCCAGTAAGTAGGCCATAGACACTAGAAGTTATACCTGAGCACTTGTGGATTAAGACACAAATATAGGCCAACACATTCGGCGCGGCACTCCTCATAGGAAGAGGCGATGGTACTGAATTTACTGTCCCACGTCTCACTGCCCCGGTACCAGCTGGACACCTACAATAAAGACAAATGTGACAGGGTTTTTCAGATGGTTTATGTGTTAATTAATAACAGCATGAAGTTCCAAGATACTCACCAATTCACCAGTTTCTGGATTGATTAATTTGCTCTGATCAAAGTTGAATTTGCCCTCATCGTCCTAGAAAAAAAAAAAAAAAAGAAGAAATCAACACAAACACAAACTTGTCAGCTATTATTATCCATAATATTTACAAGAAATGTATACATGCTCTATTATTGAACCATATTATTATTTTACTAAGAATGTACCTGGACAAATAGCTTCCCACTGCCATGTCCCAGCAGCTCGTGAAGACCAACTTGCACCTCAAATGAAGGGCCTTTCCATTTAATAAATAAATCCTAAAAGAAAACACAATTTTATGCAAGAATAGAATACTTATTTATGATCATTATTAACTAAATGACACCTTACCTTGTCATCTTCTTTCAGGAAAGTGAGTTTTTCTTTCTTTGTGGCATAGGCTACAGAGAGCACATTTCCTAAAGACACGTTCTTAAAGCCCTCTGACTGTCGGATATCATCATCTGTAAAAATACATTTGATACAGTTGCAAGAGAAATACAAAACAATATGCAGCACGTTTGTATCTTAAAACTTGTTTATTCACACATTAAAATGGTCCTCCTGCATTCTCAGTATTCACACAATAAAAGTACACCCCCAATTAGGAATTCTGTAAAAATTAATCTGGCTTTTGTTGTGAGATAAAAATGTACTCCATTTTCCAAGATACTCTGTGTTTTTGTTGCAAAATATAATATCACACTTTGATGGTGTGTAACATATAATTCATATTCTAGTGTCAGTGATATGGTAATGTTTATAAAATCCCTCAGTCTTTCAGGTAGAATCCATGGCAAAAGGAGAAATTCAGTTTGTCAACTGGACAAAAGTTTATTTGGTTGAATATGCTTCGCAGCTCATCCAACCTGCTTCTTCAGTTCTGTCCTTGTTGGAGTAGTATATAATAATATAGTGACAAGTTCCACTATCCTGCATAATCCAACCATCCCACAAAGTTTGCAGATTTCCCTGCATCTATCTACAACTTTAACACTATAGTTCCACTGAAAGAATCAATCTCCTCTAAACCCCATGAGACATGAGTATCCTGCACTGTATTTTATCACCCTGGGTTTATGCTCACAGTTGGGGATGTTGATACCGGCTGGGATCCCACTCCCAGCAAAGGTGAGGACATCTAGTGAAGTGAAATCTGGTTTGAGAAATGTGTCCTTCTCAAACTCTTTGGGCCACGGCAGTTCCGGCAGGAGCACCTCAGCGGAGCTCACCAGCCTCGCAAAACGCTCACTCATGGCTTTGTTTACCACCGCTACAAAACCTATTAAGTTACACCAAAATACATTAGTTACAAGAACATGCATGTCTTAAATTACAAAGACTGTAAAATACGCTTGTGTCTCAACTATTTTCACCCATGATAACAACAGTAAGAACATCTTACTGTAATATAATACCTTCAAATTCCCCTCTTGACCCAAAGGGATCCCTGTAGCTTTCAATGAAACCAATGTAACTAAGAAAAAGGAAAAAGAAAACAAAGTTCATTTGTCAGATTAAATTGTGTTGACTTGACCACAGTACAGTGACTGTGTTATTACATTCACAAAGAGATATAGAACAATAAAAATATTTGCCATTTTTGAGTCCAAAGTACTCCTACCTCTCTACAATTGGCCCCTTGTCTTTGATCCAGTAGCGAGAGCCTTCTTTATGGGCATCGACTGAGCCCAATGTGAAGCTACGCCTGTAATTTTCAATCATCTTCTTTTGGTTTTCATTGGCAGCATATGACTGTTTGATTTAAATAAATTAGTAAGGCTATTTCAATTACAATATAAGATTAACTATAGTAGTGGATTTTAAATTGTGTTTACCTGAGCTTGTTGGAGGTAGAAAGCGACCTTTTCCATCAGAGGAGCATAGTCCCCTCTGGTCACAGTGAAGTCTTTGTCTCCGAAACAGAAAGTGCCACAACAAGACTCACATTCTCCATTTACTGCACAGTCTGTACAAAAGTAAAAATTAATTTTTGTGGTTCACTTTTATGAGCCTGGATCAATCATGGGTAGACTGGTGATAATAACAGATTATTGTAACCTTTGGTAAAAGTCATCAGTTAAACATAGAATTTGTGATTCTTTTAGTCAGACAGAAAAGTTTGTTTACCTGCTTTCACGTTTCAGGCTACAGAAAACATGTAAAGGAGGTAAACAAACTTTCCTGTCTGGCTAAAAGAATCACTAATTCTAGATTATTGTAATGGCTTGTTTGCTAATTTAACAAAATGTTACAGTACTGACCTTGCTTCACAGCAGAGGCCAGACGCACTTCATAGCAGGTTTTTCCTCCTTCTTCTTTCTTAAACAAACGGGTGTTGTATGCAGATAGTTTCTACAGCAAACATACCAACATAGAGCTTAATAAGTTTTCATAAGTAACCAGTTCCCTTTATCAGTTTGTACAGCAGAATTTTTGTGAAAAGGGCTTAAACCAAACATACTTTTGAGTCAAGAAACTTCTGGGCAATCTCTGCATCCGCCAGACCACAGTTCCCAGAGAAGTAGGTTGTAATGCCCTGATGGATGAGACAAACATTCTTAACAATCTCTGATAAGGCAGCTGTGTTTTAGCAATAAACAGACTTTTCTTGTTCACAAAAACTTCACATTTTATGAAACATCTTTAACTTCCACCTTGTCTCCGAGCCCGAGCTGTTTCTGTTTGTCATTTAGAGAGTAAAGCAGACAGGCACAGCTGTCCCAGAGAGTCTTCATCTCAGCGGGCTGCTCCTGAAAAGCCAGGCTCGCCCAAATCAAGGCCTTGAACTTGTCCTATAACCAAGAAATAGGGGACAGACGAGAATTTAACATACAACTGCAATAAAAGCTTATTATGCATAAATGCTGATTAAAATGTAAACAGACATGGCACACAGAGTTAAATATTTCAAGATTGTATGCTTGAACTGTTGAAAAATTCACAGATTAAATGTGTTCAACTAGTTAAGTATAAGGGATTTTATCACTTGAACCTTTGAAATAAATGTAGTGCATATTTTTAAGTTTTTATAGTTATACCTTGGGTAGATTTGGTATGAATTTGGTGTCTCCAAAGGACTTGTAGTTTCCCATATTGGCATATAGACCAGCTGCATACACCAAAAAGGCCTGGAAAATGAAAATAGTATTTTGTTGGCTCTAAAGGTTAACTTTATGTGCAAAATTGAAAGTAGGGAGAGTATAAAAAGTGGTGTTCACCTGGTATTCTTCAGAGCTAAGACCGACTGAAGTGGCAAGCTTTTCCAACTGTGCAGGCGTTTGCTTTCTGAAAACTTTCTGCAGCAACACAAAAATGTTTGGAGACTCTGGAGATGTCTGCAACAGCACCACAAGGCCACCATACCTAGACCAAAATCATTCATCACAAAACTGAAATAATAAACAAGGCAGTTTATACAGTAAACATACCAGGCAGCTTGAGAAAGGTAATGGGCGTATTTCTTTTCTTGAGGGGAGAGCAAGCGAAAGGCCTCACCACAGTCCAGTGCTGAGATACCAATGTCATTTGGGAGGTAGTACTGAGAATCTACCATCTTTAGTCTGGAGCTTGTATTTGAAAATGAAGAACTGTGCAGACAGAAACAAAAACATGATATGAATGGGTTTTGAGCTCTTGGACTTCAATTTATGTGTCAGGTTTAGCTGCACAAATAGTTGCTCTTCAGTCTGTTCTCTGCAATTAGTTGTAGTCACATGAACGGGCAACTGGTCTGTATTTCATATTTACTATTTGCAATTATATGTGCATCTTTCCTACACTAAATCATAAAGGAATCCATCATCCATAATGAAAAACATCTTATTTAAAACCATACAAACACATGTCATTATGAAGTTTTGTTATACATTTTGTTTCAACTGTAGTTTATTTTTCTCTCAAACCTGATCACTTACAAATCAGTGCATTCTGAAGCAAGTCGTATTTCTTTAATTCTAAGAAGGTGACAGTGTTAAAACTCAACCCACTTAACCTTATTGTCAAAACAGCTGAGCACACATCAACACTATACGTTGGTGAAGGTAGTAGCAAGTTTAGGACCATAGAAGGACAGTTCTAGGTGTGTTAACATTAGCTTATACTTAGCAACGGTATCTGCTAGTACCATGATATGAATACATTGTCGAAATAAGCACAAAATCAACAAACATCGTAGCGGTAGGGAAAATGCCCAATTTAAAATATGAAAATCATTGTATATATATTCGAAGAAAAATGTAGTAGAAAAAGGAAACCTTTGTAAAGTACACTTACTTTTCACTCAAAGAGCGTCAATTTGCAATCTCACGCTCACGCTACTCACTTCCTGTATTCATTCAGCCAACTACCCGCCCTTCCACCAATCCGAACTCGTATATTGTGACTGACATCAAATGTAGCCAATCAGAGGGAAGCTTTACCGGCCCTTCCCACAAACCTTCTATCTTCTTGTTTCGTGTAGCGCTTCTCAACCAAAGCTTTATTTGTATTAAAAACGTATGCAACACATTTGTGAAACAGTTAAGTATTATAGATATATCGATTTTTAAAACCATAATAATCATTATAAACGTGTTATTACTACGGAAAAATTGTGTAATTACCATGTTACATTGCCAACTGACGAGGTGGCCGAGTGGTTAAGGCGATGGACTGCTAATCCATTGTGCTCTGCACGCGTGGGTTCGAATCCCATCCTCGTCGATAACCTTTTTCTCTTGAAGGGACATCTTCCGATTATCAGTCGGCTCTGGTGAATTATGGACAGTAGCATAGTAACAGGCTACTAGAAACAATAAATGTCCAAACACTGACTACAAATGTCTGTGACCTGTTGGAGTACATAAAGAGCACTTCCAGGTCACATATGCTATAGGAACAGGAAGCACATAAGAAAGTCATGTGACACGTTTGAACTTGTTCAGTATTTTATATGTATTAATTTTCCTGGTAAATACTTTTACAAAATGTAAAGGCAGGCTGTACTTTCTCATTATTACAGAAGTCTTTGTTTGCAACACAAGCAATTCCAACCAAAACACACGTACACAAGTTTATACCTCTTTCAGGAATATTACAGTGTTGTTAAGTGGGTCTGGTCTTCCATTGCCATGTTGTAATTAATCATTTAGTAATAGTACAGCTTGAGAGTTATGACAGTTACTAGGCATTACTGATTATCATGACTGACTGACTATAAAGTTGTTTCCTGACAAATAAATTTTAGGAAAAATGCATCAAGCAGATGTGGAGTGAAAGAACAAAGGGTGGAAGGAAAATAATTCATCTTAAAACTGCCAGTGCATGCTGCTTTAATACATTATCATCACTACGCAGTGTGCTAAATACTAGTCTATATATGTACTAGTATATGTTGCACAAAAACAACAATAAGTCTTAAATAATATATATATTTTTAAAAAAATAGAACAATTTATCACACAGTTGTTTTATCAAATAGTTATTTTATTGAAATCTAAAAAACATGGAAAGTGTAAGTATTTACAAAGGAGAGTGCGCATCAGAAAGTACAAAATTGTCTTGCAATGAGTGGTTCTTATATCCAAATGGTAGCTTTTAGTGGCTGGTTCGGCAGCTCTAGTAAAACTTTAACAAACATCTGGGAAATCTGTAGAGCACCTGTGTTTGTTTATCTAAGGGTTCACGCTCGGGGTTTCCCATCGCTCTGTGCAGGGGGCGTCGTGGGCAGTATCCAACGGTAACAGTCCGAGAAGCTGAGGGACTTATCAACTGCACAGCTTGTACAATAAACTATGCCAAGAGCTAGCATGACAACCAAAAACACACATAGAGGGACCAATAGCGCTACCAACAGCCAACTCTTATCCTGCTTCTGTCTGCCTTGAGTTGATTCAGATGCTGCTGTACCATAGACATCTCCTGGAGTGTCTATTTGTGCACTATCCCCCTTCCCAATAACTGAGGCATCTTTAGCCCCAGTCTCATGTGTGTTAGCTTTCGGTTTACTTTCATTGCCAATTTCATTACCCGTGGCATATTTTTGTGTTGGGGGCTGGACAGTGTGATATGGTGCAGGGACATCTAGCTGATTCAAGTCATTGTCCGAGCCCTGATTTGGGAATAGGTGGTCTGGGCTTTCTGTGAACCAACCAAAATTTGTATCAACTTCGAAATTTACATCTGGAGTGAATGAGGTGGACCACGGTAAGTCAGCATTTGGGTCAAGGTCTTCTTCATGAACTGAATCAATTGGATCTGGAGTCAGACTTGAGTATTCTTCATCATCTTTTGAAGGGGTGCAAGTGAGACCATCAGATTCGAGATCAAAACCTTCATCACAGAAACACTGGTAGCCTCCCAAGAAGTTTAGGCACTGCTGTTGGCAAGGGGATTCTTCCTTGCACTCGTCAATATCGGAACACTCTCCATCACTACTTAACTCATAACCAGGTGTGCACTGACAGCTAAATGACCCAACTGTATTTTCACAAGATCCTTCACAACTATTCTCATCTAAGCACTCATCTACATCAACACATTCACCCTCGTCATCTTGTTGGTATCCTGGATGGCACGAGCAATGGAAGGTCCCGGGGATGTTGACGCAAAGTTGCTGGCACGGCTCTTGTTGGCATTCATCAACATCTTTACATTCACGGCCATCAGAGCCCATTTGGTATCCAGGAGGGCAAATGCATCGAACGCCACGTGGTGTTTCAACGCAATCATAGGCACATCCCATATCTACGCACACCTCTTTCAAATGGGGTTGCTCGGTAGGGCCGGCCGAGTCAGACGATAGCTCAGGAGGGGTGGTTTGACTTAAAGGATCGGGTTTACAGCTGTACCCATCTTCGTCTAGGATAAAGCCATCAGAGCAGTAGCAGTAGTAGTCTGTTTCAGAATTTTCACAAAAATGCTCACACCCGTGGTCCCTGCTGCACCAGTCTACATCAGGGGCTGTGTTTGCAGAGCAAAGGGGAGCGTCTCTGGACCAGCCCACAGTTTGGTCGTCCCTCTCCATGCACAAAACAGTCTGCTCAGTCGGGGCTTCTGGATCAGTGCTGTCAGGGGGGCAGGGTAGTGTGGCCACAGAGCCATATGGGATGTGCTTTAGCCAGGGGCTGACATAGTTAAATGGTGTGGTGTAGACTGCTGGGCCCTTCCCCTCATCGCCCAGCCGAGAGCACATGCCTTTGTAGTTATACTGGCACACGTATCCATCAAGGGCCAGACTGCATGAACCGTCCAGCCACTGGTAGTTCTGCTCCCCCTGGTGAGTGCTCTCAAGGGTGTGCACCGTCATGGCAACGCAGCGATGAGCCGCACATGTACCAGGAGTCTCCTCCCTCATCCAGTTAGTGTACTGTCCATCCTGGTCCCCTGTAATGAGAATAAATCAATATATTACAACACAAATCCATCTTTTTACATTATTTGATTGTCAGGAAATATCTGTCATCTATCTTGCCCAAGGACAGGAGTATTATAGTGTTCTTAAAGAAATAAAAATAAGAAATCAGGTAATGGTGTCATTATGCTTAATATCTAGGCCTGTGTTCCAAGCATGGAAAAGGAATAGATAAATGGATGGAACTGTTTGAAGAAAAACTTTCCTCTATTTCCCCGGCAAAATAATAACTATGGACACTTCTATTTCTTGGACTACTTAATCTAATGTTACAAAGTGATATAACAGGCCCCCCAAAGCTACATTTTCATTTCTACTAATGATATTCCTAATGCACAATAATCTGTGGCAAATATTATACCATACTGCAATTTTTAGAACATCATTAGTTACAGATAACCTGGTAAGAATCCACTTTATAAGAGGCTAACTGCAAAAGGCACTCGAGGGTAAGCTTTAACTATAATTCAGTTAACAGCGCTGTTTATTGTATAAACATTCCAGATTGTAATTTTATTAAAAGTTATAGTCAAAATGTATTTTAAGGACAGGTAGATTATGGGGCCAATAAAAAACCTTTTGGTCTTTTGGGGCCTGGTCTAATGGCTAAATCAGATTTTGGGGTTGCTCTTGGGTCAGCAGGTTGTAGCTCTGTGCCGTGCCAGTGCTGTCTGAGAAACAAAAGCAGTTAATGTAATAAACAGGGAGACGGCTGCGAGTCTGAAAGAGGAGGTCATGGCTAACGCTGCACAGTGGTTTAATTACCTTCCCAGAGGCCAACAGGAAGAGCTTTATATTTACACACCACTTTATTTGAGCAAATTGCTACAAAAATGACTACATGCTGACTGCATAAATACTCCAAATTTAGCATGCTTAGACATTTACTACAATGCTGTTAACAGGGTATAGACAGACAGGAAGCCATGACATCATGAGCAATGAAAGAACTGAAGGAAGCAATTTCTACCAGTTAATTATAGTCAGTTTTTGCACACTGTATCTATTATTTAAATAGATAGAATAATCATGTTATAATTTCTTAAGTCCTCAGGGTGCCACTGAGTTGGGTTCAGCCCTAACACCTACAACTCATGAATGTTGCAGGTCCAGTGCAAAAGGTAATAAAGTTTCAAACAGGCAAGCACGCTGAACTCTGACATCAGCTTGTGGCAACCAATCAGAGAGCTTGAATGCTCCCAAGAGGTCATATGTGTTATATGAGCTTAGCATGCAGGGAAACTAAGCATTTGACACAGTTGTGTTGAAAAGATTAATTGACCTTTTTTAAACATGTGTGATTATTCACTATATTGTTCATTATTATGATTGAGTGTAATATATGTATTTCCAGAGTTCATTATAGGTTCCACTCACTATTCTGTACTTCATTAATGAATATAATATAAAACTTTGCCTGTGACCCAGACGAATCCTCTGAGCGGCCTGGTGGCGGAGCACTGTCGCGGGGGGCGGTGCAGTCCGACCCACAGCCGGAGCGTGGATCTCCCTGGAGCATCAATCTGGAACAACAGGTCGTGGACCACACCCGCCTCCGTGTAGTCGTGCATCGTGGCCAGAGTCCCGCCCTTCTCCCGGCAACTGCGCCCAGCATCTCTGAACGCCTTCTTCTGGAGAAACACTGCATAGCATCCTTTTTCATAGCACAGGGCGTCCCTCTCACCGAGCTGGGGTTTGGTTGATGGATCCTGACCCCGACTTCCAGGGGTCACACATAGAAACAGGAGCCAAGTTAGACCCAGGAGAGAGATACTGCTACTGCTACTGCTAGTCTTCATCGTCCACCGATATAAACTTTAAATTAAGCAGACATCAAAAATATGTAGTGCGCAAGTCACATAAATAAAAAACGATTCAAAGTCTCTAATAAAGTCCTTCAAATAAAGTTGATTTACTAAAATAAATATTTATAGTTTCAGAAAATAAAATCTAAACTGTCATTACAACCTTTATCAGCAAGTTCAATGTTGGCTCACGTCATTAATAGTCACTCATCCACAGGTCCTCAAAACAGCCATCAATTTTTCTAAAATCTCAACTCCATTTGACCAAATCCTTAAAAAAAAAAAATCCAGTTAAATCCAACAGTAGCCCTCAGCTCACAGTCCAGTTAATCCCAAATATTGTCTCAAAGTAAAAAATAATTTAAAACAGCAGTGATCCCATTCAAATAAGATCCAAGTCTATCACTCTTCTGTTCTCTCCAAGGCAGTCCACAGCATCTGCAGCGCTGGCTTTGTGACTGAACCCTCAGAAGAAGGGAGAGAGGGGGGATAGAGAGAGGAGGGAGAGTAAGACGGGACGGGGTGTGAAGGGGGGAGTCGACGTAGAGGAAAGAATAGTGTGTTTTTTGGGAAGCTTTGGGGTAGGGTTTGAGGGGGGAGAGTTATGAAAACCATACGGCACCACTCTGTCCCCCGAATTTTTGGGCTCAAACTGCAGCACAGCATCCTGACAGTGGAAAGAGTTTGTCAGCTTTTCAGTGTGAGAGATGCAGATTCTTAAACTATGGAACCAGGCAGTCTTGCTTTAGATACTTTATTTATGTTAAAAGTTCCAGACCATTGCCTTTTCCCAGATGCATACAGACCTGACCTCATATAAATTTGTATAGTCCTGGATTAGCTCTAATGTTATGGTTTTGTTTTAGTTTCTTCATTTTTTGATTTGCGGTCTATCAAAATCCTAGAGAACATTAAAATGTATGTCACTATTTACTGGACAAAGATTCTAGTCTTTTAGTCTAGTTTTATCCCCTTGGTTTTGTTATGGTGAAAATCTAGTAACAGTTTACATTGTACTGTATAAAAATTATCCATTGGAGTCCTAAAATTTAGCACTCTAATTTGATGTATTTCACAATTGCACACACACCAAACGGGACTAAACAAAACCACAGCCAGACAAAACCAAGTTATAACTAAACTGGGCTCAAATCAGGACAAGTGTGAATGTTTTTAGCCTGTTAAATACTGTATAGTTGGTATGTCAAATACTAGAAGTCATAGTTGGTTTGATAAGGTCATGTTTTAATACGTTTCACTTGCCTCAGGTTGTTTATTCTTTCTCTGCCTTTCTCAAACTCTCCCCACCCTTTTACATAAGCTACCTTGGATTTTTTTACCTGCTCCTCCAGCTGCAAGTTTTTACAGCCAAATGGAAACATTAGGCTCTAGGTTTAACTTCACACAGAGGGGACATGCAGTGCTGTGGGGTCCCATTGTGAATGTTATGAATACACTTATTCATGGGGTTAGACCTGGTTGAGGTTGTGGTTTAGCCCTGGTTTTGGCCTTCGTTCTGATTAAGGAACTCTTTTGTCTTTCGTTTAAGTCTTTACTATTGTTTTAAATGTCAACCATTTAATGCTGGCATATTTTCAGTTTTAGTTGAGGTTCCAGTTATTTGGGACTTAGTGAGCCCCATTTAAACATGCAATAAACAATAATTTTATAAGGTATTCAAACATTATATGAGGGTGCCTTAGGTTTTTATAGTTATTGTAAAGTTTTCAGTCTTGCTTTGGACATAGGTGAATAGTTTATTAAAAAAAAAAAAAAAAAAAAAGCTTAATGTAGACCTGGTTGGGTTAGTATTTAATCTAGGTATTTGTACTAATACAAGTTCTCTTATTGAACTTTTTATTACACTGATTCAGTCTAAAGCTTAAGTAATGAAAGTCTGGCTGTATTTAAAAGGCTTTAATTTTGAGTCAAATTATTCTACAGGAAAAGGCCTAATATTCTATACCAATTTCAGTGTCACATGTCACATATCTCATTTTTAAGACTATAAAAAAGTAGTTTTCGCTAAGGTTCTTTTTAAAGACAATACAGTAAAGTGTATTTACCTTGTTGACATATATACAACACTCCACCACCAACACCGGTCATGTCAACAAGGTAAATACACTTTATTGTATTGTCTTTAAAAAGAACTGAAGAAGTTAAAGTAGAAGACAAAATGAACATCTTTGGCCTAGTTTCTTCTGAGATGGTCTGATGCTGATTAAGATATTCAAAATCTGTTCAGGAGTACTTTTAGGTACTGAAACTTATTCAAACGAGTACCCAGTTGCTACTCTAGTTTTAGTATCAGGTAATGTCTTGGTATCTTTTTGATTTTCCATTGAAGAGCATTTAGAGGTATGCCCATCTTCAGTTATTCTTTGCATCAAACCATGTTGTGTGTCTTTACTGCATATTTAATCTATATATTAATAGCTGGGTATTTGTTTATTGTTGTAAGGTGACCCTGAGTGTCTAGAAAGGTGCCTAATAAAGCTAATATTTTATTTTTATTGTTATGGACATTTTAAACTTGTATGTTTAGTTAGTTTAAGGCTTATATATACTATTTTGTATAGTCTATGTATGGGTGCACATTTTTAACATTTCATCCCTCAATTTTATTTGGAAAAAACTCAATTTACACACAACATTTTGAAATGTTGAGGATGTAGTAAAACGGCCTTTATAAAGTCTCCATATACAGTGTCCATGTGTTGAAAATATTCCCACGAATGTGCAAGCATAGGTCCGTGTTGCCGAATGGAAAAAGACTACCTGTTACAGTGTCCATAAAACTGTCCATGCCTGTACCATTATACAGTAAGTGAGCCGCACATGTATAGAAACTGCCCTCCCGTGTGTGGTGCCTTCAGGGGCATGGAGCAGCGGAGGAAACAGGAAATGCCACATATGCATCAGCCTGACCTTTTCAATGCAGAGAAGGGGCAGGGAGCTGGGGTACCTTCATTGTGGTCAGTATCCAAATCATCAACTCATGTTTCATCCTTGAGTATTTTTAAACTTTGAAGTAAATAAATATTTTAAAAAGAATAAACCCACATTAAAAAGGAAATGAAATGAAGTGATTAAAACAATAATTAAGAATAAAGGGGATTTAACACACATATTATCATTAAAACTAAACTAAAATTAAAGTTCAGTGCAAAACACAATAACATCTCTATGGAAACATGCAAGTAGCGGACCCTTCAGTAGTTACACACTGCACCTTTAACTGTTCTTTATACAGACAAAACATTCCATTATGGAGGCAAATTTATCACACGATCCAACTGCCATGTTCATCTAGGATTTTCCAAACACAATATGATCTTTTTTCCGCTTTATGTGTGTGGAGCGAGAAAATCCAAACAATATTTTACAACAAAGCCAGAAGCAAAGCCTGGTTGAAAGGACATGTTGGAGTTACAGAGGAGCACAGATGGTGAGAGGCTGTGAATTAAGGCCTACCACAAACAAACAAGCTCCAGTGATGACAAACTGTACAAATACTGTGGTGGAGTGACACTGAGGCCACACATACAGTTAATGAGAGATGCCATGTCTGAACCAAAACACTGTTAATGGCGTTTAGGGCATCTGGTAACTTCATTAGCAAACAATGCACAAAGAGTCTGTTTGAAAAAGAGCCTCTAGATGGGATGGGTCTCATGCAGGGTTCTTACGATGGTAGTAAACATGGTTGTATGTTTTGATTTAGTCTTGGTTTTGTCCTGGTTTAGATTTCATTTATTCTTGGTTTAGTCCTGGTGTAGTCCTGGTTTAGTCCTGGTTTAATCCTGATTTATTCTTGGTTTAGTACTTGTTTATTCCTGTTTTAGTCCTTGTTTATTCTTGGTTTAGTCCAGGTATAGTCCTGGTTTAGTCATGGCATAGTCCTGGATTAGTCTTGGTTTAGTCCTGGTTTAGACTTAGTTTATTCTCGACTTCATCCTGGTTTCGTCCTGGTTTAGTCCTGGTATAGTCCTGGTCTAGTCCTGGCTTAGTCCTAGTTTAGTCTTGGTTTAGTCCTGGTATAGCCTTGGTTCAGTCTTGGTTTAGTCCTGCCTTAGTCCTGGTTTAGACTTAGTTTATTCTTGATTTAGTCCTGGCTTAATACTGGTTTAGTTTTGGTTTAGTCCTGGTTTAGACTTAGTTTATCCTTGGTTTAATCCTGGTTAAGTTCTGGTTTAGACTTTGTTTATTATTGGTTTAGTCCTGGTGTAGTTCTGGTTTAGTCCTGGTTTAATCCTGATTTATTCTTGGTTTAGTACTTGAATATTCCTATTTTAGTCCTGGTTAATCTTGGTTTAGTCCTGGTTTAGACTTAGTTTATTATTGGTTTAGTCCTGGTGTAGTCCTGGTGTAGTCCTGGTTTAGTCCTAGTTTAGACTCAGTTTACTCTTGGTTTAGTCCTCATTTAGTCCTGTCTTAATCCTGGTTTAGACTCGGTTTAATCCTGGTTTACATTTACAGTAGTTTATTATTGGTTTAATCCTGGTGTAGTCCTGGTTTAGACCTGGCCTTTTTAAATCTGATTTAGTATTGATTTAGTCAATATTCTGTCTTGGTTTAGTTCTGGATTAGTTTAGCACTCGTTAACCTTTGCTCTCATTCAGTAGAATTCAGTACTAATTCAGTATGGGTTTAGTCCCAGTTTGGTCCTAGTTTAGTTCTATTTTGCTTACACTTGGTACAGACCTGGTTAAATCCTATAGGCTAGTCTTGGTTTTACTGTTTTCAACATTTCAACGAAGTGATGTCTTATCTCTTCAGTTGAACTTACTATAGTTTACACAATGCAATGGACCGTAAATATTAAAGGCAGAAAGGTACAAATACAGCCCATGCTACTCTTTATTAGAATATCAGATTTGTTTTCATGTTATCCACAAGACAGATTAGAGTTTTAAACATTTCACCATTACACATACTACATGTAGGAGTTACCATGGTGACACAAAGCACACATTAAAACCATGCATTTTCAGGAACCTGTGATCAATACAAGTGTTCATGGTCCTGTTTAGGTGTTTGATTTTACACAAAAAGGCGAGAGTGACTAACTGAAAAACTGTTGGATAATTCTAAATAGCTTGTGACTGTAATATT